GATCTGGGGAGGACGTTTCTGCAGCAGAGATAATAAGTACGAGCATTACCCAGACCCCCTCGAGTAATGATAAAATCATAACGGGAGGTTTTTCCAATTTTTCTGCTTCCGGGGGCCCTCACCAGGCCTCGGGAGCGTCAAAAAACGACGCAGGATGTAAAGCCAGTCCCGGGGAATAGGTCGGGACCTCTGGGGGTCGACGTCATGAACAAATCATGAGGTCGGGGGTCTGGGTACGAAGAACATGTTACGAATATCAACAAGCAGCATACTCACTAATCAATACTAATCACCGGAGAAATACCAATAAGAATGATAGTGAGACTCACACTACGAATGATAAGTGCGGCCATACTAATAATTATCATCATCATCATCATCAGCATCATCATCATCATCATCATCAGCAGCAGCAGCATCAGCATCATCATCATCATCATCATCATCATCAGCAGCATCAGCATCAGCATCATCATCATCAGCATCAGCATCAGCATCAGCACCAGCATCATCAGCATCAGCATCAGCATCAGCATCAGCATCAGCATCAGCATCATCAGCATCAGCATCAGCATCAGCATCAGCATCATCGTCATCATCATCAGACTACTTGTTCAATAGACACAAAGAATCGAGCATCGCATAAGAAGCACGACAAATCGTCCCCGCGGCTATCTCTTAAGACTCTTGCATCTGCCTGCTGTAAAGGGGGGGCACGCCCGACCTGGGGCTCGCTGCGGCAGGGCCCCCCCGGAAAAGAAGGCACCGTGAGCCGCCAGCACTTCTCGCCCCCGTGACCTCGTAAAACAGGGCTAGGATCGGGATAAATCGCTCTGGCATCTGGCATCTGGTCTTCCCCACCACTTCCCATGCTTTCCCCTATGTTCTCGGGAGTCGACGATTCATTGTGTCTGCGTGTTTTTTCTCCTCCTGACCTTTGGCGCTGCAGTGGACCAGGGTCCTGTTCCATTCCACGGAGGGGCTCGACCCCCTCCTAAAACAGGGCTAAGATCGGGATAAATCGCTCCAGAGCGTTCCGGAGCGCTCTCAGAGCGTTCTGGAACGCTCTGGAGCGGCCGCGGCGCCCAATACGTCCTCCAAACCCGCCGGTTCTCAGAGATTCCGAGTTGTCCCGATCCGAGTTTGTCCCGATCTTCGCGTCGTTTTACCTCGCCCTGCCCTGAGAGCCCACGTCTCGAAAAAATGGGAGCATCGCAAAAAGGATCACTCGCCATCGCTCGGACGTCCATTCCCCGTGTTTTTTGTATGGTTTCGTGTGGTTTTTTCGCCAAATGATCAAGGATGCTCCTCGACGGCCCTCGCCGAGAAAAAAATGCACACGTCCGAGCGATGCCAGGATCACGGCTAGAGCCCTATAGACCTAGACCCCCTCTCGGATCGTGAAAAGATCGTGGCGGCAGCTTTTTCGCTATTTTCGGCCTCTGGGGTCCCGCCCCAGGCCTCGGGACCGTCAACGACTCGGGATGAGAAACCGGTCCTGCGGAATGTGGTCGAGAACTTTGGGGGTCGACGTTGTGGAAAAATCATGACGTCGGAGATCGCTGGGCTTTCTGCGCCATTTTCCGAGCCGGAGCAATCTGAGAGGGTCTCGGGGCCCGAATCTGGGCAGAAGAACACAGCGCTCGACAAACTGCTACGCCAGGATCCCAGGTTGGTTTCTTTGCCTCCCCCTCTGCTCGGTGGCGACATCCTCCGAGCCCGAACTGCCCCCACCCACCATCGTTTCTCCCACATCAGTGGGAGGCGTGGGGAAGGGTTGTGGCTTTCGCCACGTGTTCGACGAATTCTGGACCCTACCTCCGCCGCCCATCAAGCTGCCTGAACCGTTGATCGGCGAGGGTAGGGTTCGGATTTTTGGACGCCCGGAATGGGTACGGAAGAAATGGGTACAATGCCCAACAACAAATGTTGTCCTTAACCAACAGCGGCCGCTGTTAGGCAGGCGGTCTTCTGTCTCAAATATACATAGGCCGCGGCGACACCGACAGCGAGTCCTGTTCAAAATGAACAGGAAATGCTGTTGGACATTGTACCCATTCTTTCCTTACCCATTTCGCTCGTGCCGAGGATTTCGCCGCCGATCTATCGAACCCCCGACGCCAGGGCGGCACGGAGCACCTGCAGCGCCGCGCCCGGCGCCGGCGGCGGCGGGCCCTTCCGCGACGCCGTCTGCTGCAAGGAGAGCCGGTCCTGGAAGGACAATAAGAAACCCAGACCCCCTCGGGTAATGAAAAAAACATGACGGACAGTTTCTCTTAATTTTCGGCCTCCGGGGGCCCTCACCGGGCCTCGGGAGCTTCAAAAAACGACTCAGGGTGACAAACTGGTCCTGGGGAATGGTCGAGAACTCTGGGGGTCGACGTAATGGAAAAAAAAATGACGTCGGGGGTCTGGGAAGGTACCGATACCGCTACTCCCCAGACCTCTCCCAGGGTGCAGTCCGAGCAGGATTGCGACGCGAGTCCAGCGGTGGCGACGAGGGCCTCCGAAGAGGCCGAACAAAAAAAAAAGGAAAGCGTGCGAAGGGTGGCGGCATCAGCACTTCCCGGAGATCCTGGCGCTGCAAGTTGCTCACCACGAGCGTTGTCGATCTGGCTCGAGACATGAAGCAGAAAGGTGGGGCCCCAGGCTCCGCTCGCGAGTTCGTGCAATGTTGCATGCTCTTTTTGTGTGAAACGTCGGATCTCAAGGCTTTCCCTCCGAGGCCTCGTCGTACGGCCGGAGCGGCGGCGGCATCGGCAGCGCCTGCTGGTGCGGCGCGCGCCAGGCGGGCTGCGCGCCAGCGGGCGCTCGCGTCGGCTGCACGCCGGCGGGCAGGTTGGAGTTGGGGTCCTCGCCGTGCTGCTTGCTGCTACATGTGTTCTCCTTTCTAAAAAGAGAATAGACTCTACCCCCCCCCCCGGGGAATTATCGCTATATGCCCCTTTCGGGTATGTAACTCACGTATGATTCTGACCACATGTCCATCCTAAATATGAAATCACAATGTCCCAGGCCAATCGGGTCCCCCCCCTGAGGCTCCCATGTAAAAAACTCTATGCGGTGACATTTTGTTGTTCTAACATAACGCTTGTCCACGAATCCCTTGCAAAAAAATGACGAAGTGCACACGCGCGCGTCGTCGCGCGCGCATGCCGAAATCCTCCAAAAACCTTCGGTGCCGGAAGGATTTCGCAATCGAGCTTCCAAAAAAAACATACAAAAACACAGGGTTTCGCAACACTGATTTGCTAAAAAAGCTTCCGCGCGAGCTCTTGCGAAATCTCAAGAAAACCATAGGTTTTTCAAGATTTTCGCAAAATGCTATTAAACGGGCTTCGCGCGCGCGCATGTCAAAATCTGTCGAACGCCCTTGCGCGTGTGCCGTCGCGAGAATCCTCTGCAAAAAAATGAAACGAAGAGAAGAGCAGACGCGCGCGTCGTCGCGCGCGTATGCCGAAAACCTTCAAAACCCATCGGTTTCGGAAGGATTTCAACATCGTGTGTCCAAAAAACCTACAAAAACACAAGGTTTCGCAACACGGATGTTCAACAAAAGCGTGCGCGCGCGCTCTTGCGTCGTCGTCGTCGTCGCCGTCCTCCCTCCTCCCGCGTCGTCGTCGTCGTCGTCGCCTACGTCGTCCTCTGTCTTTCCTCGTGTTCGTCGTCGTCGTCCTCTTTGGCGTCGTGGTCGTTTCCGTCGTCGTTGTCGCCGTGGTCGTCCTTCCTCCTCCTCCCTCGTCGTCGTCGTCGTCCGTCGTCGGCGTCTCGTCGTAGTCCCTCCTATTTCGTCGCCGTCGTTGTCGTCGTTGTCGTCGTCGTCTTCCCTCCTCCCTCGTCGTTGTCGTCGTCGGCGTCGCCGTCCTTCCTCCTTCTTCGTCGTTCGCGTCGTCGCCGTCCTCCCTCCTCCCTCGTCGTTGTCGTCGTTGTCGTCGTTGTCGCCGTCGTCGTCCTTCCCCCTCCTTCGTCGTCGTCTTCGTTGGCGTCGTCGTCGTCGTCTTCGTCGTCGTCGGCGTCGTTGTCGTCGTCGAAGTCGTCGGAGACGTCGTCGGTGTCGTCGTAGTCGTTGTCGTCGGTGTCGTCGTAGTCGGTCTTAAGAGGTTTTGCAAACCAAGTTGCGGGTGGGTGGGTGGGATGTTTGCAAGAACGTGGGATGTGTCAAACCATGGGTGAAAATCAATTGCACCACCTAGACTGCACCACATATATTGCCCCACACAGATTACCCGAAGCAGACTGCTAGGGGTCCACGCTGGCGACGTATCTCTCGAAATTTGAGTACAACGGCAACAACAAGCATGTGGAGAGGGAGACAGCTAAGAGGAATGGAGTGGAGGCAGCGAGGGAGGAGGGAAGGGGGGCAACGGGGAGACGGAGGACGAGAGGGATTAGCAAGAGGGATTCGCAGGAGGAGTGGCACACGAGTCTCAGGCGAGATCGCGGTTCTTGAGCAAAGTACGAGGACGTCTCGAGCGAGAGGGCGACTCCAGAACGCCGAGACACCGACTCGCGGAGAAACGCAGCGAATTCTCAGGCGAGAGCCCGATTCCTGAGAAAAAACACCAGGAAGTCCACAGCGACGATCGTGAGGATATGTTAAGCGGGAGCCGCTGATGTTGCAAACAGGGAGCAAAAACACAACATGAGGCGCAAGACTTCCCCTTGGGAATTACCCGGATGCGAGCCCCGGGAGGGGCACTTCAATTGAAGAGCAAATGCGCTGGAAGGAGGGGATCAACAATAGTTCTTCAGACGTAAGAGCTCCTTCAGGTTACGACTGTTCGCTCTTATTTGCTCGCGTGTCACCCCAGATGTATACCCCAAGCCCTCGATGCCCGTCCTCTTCGTTTTCAATCGTAACCCTCGGGGGTACATCTTCCATAGCTGCCACCTGTACGTCGCGCAGCCGTCGAAGCATGGGAAGGGTAAGCAAAGGAAAGGAACAGAAAGGAAAGGGAAGGGGCAAGGGGGGAGGGCACAGGACGGAGCACGCCAGAGACTGGCAGGAGCTCGCCATCGCTCGGACGTCCATTCCCTGTGTTTTTGCTTGGTCTCGTGCGTGGTCTTTTCGCCAAATGATCAAGGATGCTCCTCGATGGTCCTCGCCGAAAGAAAAATGCACACGTCCGAGCGATGCCAAGAGGGCTGGGCTGCCCCGTGAGGGGCGGGCCGTCGGCCCACAGTCGGCGGCCCATGGGGCGAGCGGGGGCCGCTGCATCCCAGACGGAGCCCGGCCCCCCCCGCAGCTGCCCGTCCCTCTGCAACGCCCGCGCGACGCCTTTTGAGACAGGCCGAGAGACGCCTCTAAAAAGCACCCGCGCGACGCTTCCAAGGCGCACGCGCGACGCCTCGAAGGCGCCTGCGAGACGCCAGTAAGACTGACTACCTACCAGACCACCACAGAAGCCAGAGAGGGGCGGGTCTGCGGGCGGACCCGAGCGGACCGGTCGGGCAGGCGGGCCCTTGGCGGCCGGGTCGAGCGGGCGGGCTCTCCTCGGTCGCGGGCGACTGCCGCGGGGACGCCTCGAGCGATGGTCTGCGCGACTCCCAAGTAGAAAGTCGTGAGGAGGTCGACTCCTCCTCCTCCTCCTCCTTCTCCTCCTCCTCCTCCTCCTCCTCCTCCTCCTCCTCCTCCTCCTCCACGGCGAGAGCGTGGTTCCTGAGCGTCGAGGGCGCGCCGTCGCAATACATTGCTGGGCGGTAGCACGCGACTCCGCGAACCCCGCGAACATTTGTGAGGACGTCCCGCGCGAGGGCGCGAAGAAAACATATCGAGCGGGAGCCGTCGTTGCTGATGCTGCTAAAATCGCACGTCTAAGATAATTATGATTGATCATCCCTGTGCGGTAACTTTTGTATTTTTTCACTCCAAATACTTCTCCCGAGGCCCGCACCCTGTATTTGTTTCATAAGGGAGCGTGAAGTGTCACCAAAATGGGCCCCTGGCCCCTTGTTTGCAACAACAGCGGCTCCCGCGTCATACCTTCTCACAGGATGTTCCAAACACGCGCTCTCGCGCGGGACTCTCTTACAAGCGTGTTGTCGGGTGGACCCACACAGGGCCATATATGCATAATAATTTAACTATGTCAGAAATCTGTCAAAAATGCGTTTTCCGAAATACGGAAAATTAGACAGCAGGATTCTGCCTTTTCAAGCCACCTATATTACAACTTCTACCCGAATCGCGCTCTCGCGTGGGACTTCCTTGCAACGTATTGAGACGCCGCGCCCTCGACACTCAGGAATCACGCTCTCGCCGTGGACCTCCTAACAATTTACTTGGGAATCGAGCTATCGCTCGAAACGTCCTCCCGATTCATGCAGGACGCACGCTACAGCCACCCGCCTGTTCGACCTGGCCGCCTGGGTCCGCCTTCCCGACCCGCCCAGTAGGGCCTACCCGCCCGATCTGCCCGTCTGGTCTTGCCGCGTGCCCTCTGCTCTTAGCCCCCTCTGATGCTAGCATCTCTCGTGCTCCATCCTCCTCCCTCCCCCTTTGCCCCTTCCTACCATTCGTCTTTCTACCCCTGCCTTAGGGGCTGCACGAAATTAACGTTGCAGGTAAGAGAGATAGACCCCTACTGGGGCACGAGTGAATACGATAAGGGTCGGGTATCGAGGGTTAGGGATACACGTGTTGAATGGCACGCGGGCAGATGAGAGCGAACAGTCTTACAATGATTGTTGCTGCTGTACATCAAGGCCCATGGGCGCAATGTGAGACGCAGCATGTCCTTTGTAAAACGACGGGGTCGAGCCCCAGGACGGGCACTTCAATTGAAACAGTGCATGCCTATACGCGGCGGAACTTGGAGCGCCCATTGCAGGCAGCAGTGGTGCCAGGGATGATCTTGCGCCAATCACAGTGCAGGAATTGGCAGCCGTCCTCAATCGCACGAAGACGGGCACAACACGCGCTGCTGACGGAGTGGTAGCAGCAACGCTGCAAGCAAGGCGACAGAAGTTGGTGGAAGTGATGGCTCATTTGTTTTCGAGAACCCTTCGGGGAGCAGAAGCCTTGTCAAAGGGGTGGCTGACCAGCAAATCATCCTTGTGTACAAGAGCGGCGCGATGCTTCCCCAAAACTACAGCCTATCAGCATCTTTGGTGATGTAGACAGCTTTTTCAATATTACTGGCAAACGGGACCCAGACTCTGGTGGACTCGAAACTTCAGCCAGAGCAACCTGGCTTCCGTTCTGGTTACAGCTTTTCGGACGTGGTGCAAACTCTCTGGGCAGTGTCAGGGGCGGTGGAAGAGTGGGGGCGGAGGACGTCTGGATGGCGCTGTCAGACTTCGAAAAAAAAAACAGCTGGCAAAGCGTTGTCAACCCGCCGTGTCCGAGGCGGCTCGGGAGGAAAAGGCGGAGCTGGCTACGATGCGCACGCTCTTAATCTGAGAACGCATGTTCAACTTGACTGCTCCACAACGAGTGCTCAATTCGAGATATAACGTGAATTCGGCATGGAGATCCGACTCCACTGCTTCTGCCTCACAATGCCCCCGGGACCGTCGTCTTCCAGAAATTGGGCAAAGTTTGGCATGCAAGCAAATTGGGAACGATCACCGTCTCGCAGGAGGACGGAAACCGAAAATTGAGCCGCGTCACGTGGGCAGGGGATACGGCACTGGTAGCACGATCAGCCGATGCGCTGTGACAGATGACCAGCGGTACGATGACAGAGTTGACAAGGAGAGGTATGCTTCTGAATGTTGGCAATGGCGTCATACAGCATTATGGCGTCGCCACCTGGGATTACCTTGAAATGCACAGGCCACAAATTTCTCACCCCATCAACTACGAAGTTTCGGCCGCAGGTGACTCTACCAGGCCGCACGAGATCTCGCCTGACATACAGGCTGGGTAGGCTTAACTCCATCTGTTATGGCCCAAGAGGCTTCCGGAAGGCATGCACAACTTGGAACATGCCCGTGACAAAGGTACAAAGAATCCGCTCAAGGAGCCCGCGGTGTGGTGTAAGCCATTGAACCATCCCTACCACGACGAATCACGACAACGATAACGATTACACCTCCGCCCAGAGATAACGGCCATTTGAGTAGATATCGGAGCCCCACTTGCGAATTTCGCTCAAGCGACCAGTGGGCCCCTCCTCCTCTTTCCCAGGATACCGATTCACTTGAAGTTCGAAGGGGAAAAGCCCGACCGCATGCGAGAAACATGTCTTCGACAACCGCCCCCATTGCAGTCGGGCCCATGCCGGAAGACCGCCCCTCCAGAACATGAGACCCCACGTCGGCCCCAAACACAAACAGGGCGTCCAAGGGTACCCTCCCCAAGATGCACTTTTTTGATCCGCGGGTCGAGAGCGCACCTCTTCCGGTCGAAGCTAAGCGGGCCGCGCGAAGCTTGAATTAACAAAGGGGGGGTGGCAGAAGGAGAGCGGCCCCACGGCAAGGCCAGGAGGAGGCAAAGCCTCGGGATCAGGCGGTGCTGAAGACGACGTGCTTGCAAACCAACGCCTTGTACAGGAACCCGGTGACTAACACCAGTGTCCTCCCCGAACAGGCATTGATCTTACACGTACGGTGTCCTCCCCGGGCCGACCTCGATCTTGTGCCTCGGCCCGGCGGCACCACCACCACCACCGCCGCCGCCGCCGCCGCCGCCCCCGCCGACGCCACCGAGAACTGCGCCTGCTTGCTCCCGTGCAGCGTGCCTTCGCCGTACCCTCTGCAGGTAAGAGAGAGAGAGAGAGAGAGAGAGAGAAACAAAAAACATAACACACCAAAAAGAAAAATAAACAAAAAACAGAGAAACAAACAAAAGCAACAAACAAGCCTCAACAACAAGACAGAGAGAAACAGAGAGAGAGAGAGAGAAGCAAACAAGAGGGTCCTCGCCGTACTGGTGCAGGTCATCGACCCAGCGCCAGAAGTTTGCGTTGTTGCCGCGCCGGGCGGCCTCGATGGCGAAGAAGCCGGGCGGCTGCGGGGGCCGCTCCTGCCCGGGGGCCACTCCGCGCTGTGCAGCTGCCCCCCCCCTCCCCCAATCCAGAAGCTGGGACCCGCGGACGACCTGCGTGCACCGTGCGGAACTGGCGTCTCCCGAGGCGTCGTCGACCCTCGACCCTCCTCCTCCTCCTCCTCCTCCTCCTCCTCCTCTTCCTCTTTCCTCCTCCTGCTTCCTCCTCCTCCTTCCTCCTTCCTCCTCCTCCTCCTCCTCCTCCTCCTCCTCCTCCTCCTCATCATCATCATCATCAATCATCATCATCATCATAATCATAATATCATCATCATCATCAATCATCATCATCATCATCATCATCATCATCATCATCATCATCATCATCAATCATCCTCATCCTCTCTCCTCCTTCTCCTCCTCCTCGTTCCTCCTCCTCCTCCTTCCTCTCCTCTTTCCTCCTCCTCCTCCTTTCCTCCTCCTCCTCCTCCCTCCTCCTCCTCCCTCCTCCCTCCTCCTCCTCCTCCTCCTCCTTCTCCTCCTTCTCTCCTCTCCTCTCCTCCAGGGTTCTCTTCCCCCCCTCCTCCTCCTCCTCGCCCTACAAGCTTCCTCTGAGACGGACGCTTTGAAGGATGAACGGTAATAGTAAGGCTCAGTTGATGGAGCAGACTTGGCGCAAAAGGCGTCGTGACTCTGTACACTCCCCAATCAACTAGACGAACTCATTCCAGCACTTCCCCCTCGACCCGAATGAAAGTTATAGCAACGGGCGCATCAAGAATGTAGGCAGGGATGACGAGGGCAATATAAAGCCACCCTAGACGGCAACGGACCACCTGTAACAAGATGGAGTGGTAATGCGGCGTCTGGCAGCCAAGATAGTTCCTGATCGCCTACTCGAATGACGAGCGGGTTGGTGAATTGAGTGTGCTAACACAGCCGTCCCGCCCGACTGTGAGGCCCATGGGACTCCATCACGAGACTGAGCGCGCATGGAGGGCGTGCTAACCTCGCTTACCCGCTCATCCGACCCAACCTATTTTAAGGAACCGAACTCTATACACCGACGCGTTTTCCGGCCCCGCACTGGAACTCGCACAGGAAAGCGGATCCTGGTGTATACGATACGGGATCCTGGTGCATACATTCTTCGTTGCTTACTCGGGAAAACGGGGAACAAACATATACACCACACCACCCCGACGTCGCCCGCCGACCCTCAAAAAATTCCCGGGATTGCAAAACAGCCCGCCACTGGTAACGTATATGCTCCAATTTCCGACATCGTACACCCTGACTGTGCCTGAGGCGATGACTGCTGCCTCGCAGCCGGCTGCAGTCACGACGCGGCCCGGCTCCGGTCCTTGGCCCGAGAGCAGGGGCAGTGTCAAGCTGGCTTCGCATGGCTTCTAATCCAGCAGATCCGGCAATTCGTCTTAATATTTCCCTGCGTTGTTCCATCCATCGTGCCAAGTGTCGCAAGAATAAGGTATAGCACTTTGCGATTGCCTGTGCTAACTCAGGCAAGCGACCGCAATAACTTCCAATTACCGTCCAGAGTTTTGACTCGGCCCCACGGAAGGGATTTCACGATTGGATGGTTGTGGACTCGCTGATTGGTATATGGTGATACTTACTACTATGACGATTTACAATTTGCACGGTTCACTTATCAACCGCCAGCCGTTCGAACCAGTATGGCTTGTTGATCGTGTCGGCTCCAGAACTTATCAGAATTAGCAATGCTACGATCAGTTGATCAAGCTTTTGTGCGATAATGTACGGACTGCTTGGACATACCCCTTTGTCTTGTTCAGTTGCCGTTAGCATGCTGTCTTGTAACCAACATGTTACTGCTGGCATAGATGATGGTTCGATGCAGCTAGACGCTCCACTCCCAGCTGGAAGTCTGCAGCTCCCGAAAGCCGCATCGAGGCAATACTTATACCACCCCCCTTACTTATACCACCCCCCTACATTGACTGGTGTCTGTGCCCCCGGGGATCACGCCGCCATCGCAACGTCGCTCCCTGAAGTACCATGCAACTTACTCAAGCAAGCACGTGTTGCACGACGACTGCTTGCAACGACTCTACGAACGGACACAACTCAAGCCAAACAGCGTCGAACAAGATGACACTCCCCAATCAACCAAACGGGCTCGACATAACACCTCCTCCATCCTTTCCTCATCTTCCCGCTTCTCCCGCTCCTCCGCCTCCACCTCATGCTCCGCATCTTTAGGCGGCGAGCGAGGGAAGTGAGAAGGAGAAGGCCTTCACAGCAGGCGGCGGGCTTCTCATACGCCATCGCGCCTTTGAGAGGTTTGTTCTGTCTTCCGGGAAGGTTTAGAAAACTTCTCAGAAGGCCGGGGGATTTCGGAACCTTCTGAGAAGGCCTTCTCCTTCTCACTTCCCCCCCTCGCTCGCGGCTGTATCTTGCTACCCGTGCTCCGTTCCCCTACCCAAAGCCCCACCCATTCTCAAAATCGGCCTCGGACCTCTGCCAGGGTGCGTCTTGACCAGGAGGTTCGAGGAGAGTCCACCCATTCGAAACTCCCCGAAAACCGACTGCGTATTGAAGTATAAACCCAGGATGTGGTGCACGCAACTACACGTAGGTCGGGCATGTCCTCCTACAGGCGGAATTTGGAAGAAACATAAAAATAAACAAAATGTTCGACATAGTCAGAAGAGCACGAACAATAGTCCCCTAACTGTTTTTCACTATTCTCGAGTACTCCTCCTGTAGAGGGACACGCCCGACTTACAACTACACGCATCGATCTGTAAATGGCCACAAATGCACATACGTGCGCGAGCACTCCCCCATCGGCCCTCCGTCCACCCCCTCCTCGTCTTCGGCAAGTTCGTGTCACGACGACCCCGGCACTGGTGTCTGACAACGCGTGGATCGTTCAAACTTGCGCGATCGGCGGCTGCTCGATCGCCAGGTCATTCCATATAGACTGATTCTGGGCCACTGGCTGCGCTTAACCGTGAACGCCCGCAACGGCGTTGGCGCGTCGGTGCATCACGAACCTACCGCACATCCTCCGAGGTGCTGCACCTCCGCCTCCGCCTCCGCCTCCTGCTCCCCGCTCCCCCTCCGGACCTCCACCTCGAGGCCAGCTCAGCACTGACCACGGCACGGCGCCCATGGCATCGTCCCACCATCGGCCCCCCCCTCCTCCTCCTCCTCCTCCTCCTCCTCCTCCTCCTCCTCCTCCGCCTCCTCCTCCTCATCCTCCTCCTCCTCCTCCTCCTCCTCCTCCTCTCCTCCCTCCTCCTCCTCTCCTCCTCCTCCTCCTCCTCCTCCTCCTCTCTCCTCTCCTCCTCCTTCCTCCTACCTCCTCCCTCTCCTCCTCCTCCCTCCTCCTCCTCCTCCTCCTCCTCCTCCTCCTCCTCCTCCTCCTCCTCCTCCTCCTCCTCCTCTCCTCCTCCTACCTCCTCCTCCCTCTCCTCCTCCTCCTCCTCCTCCTCCTCCTCCTCCTCCTCTTCCTCCTCTCCCCTCCTCCTCCTCCTCCTCCTCCTCCTCCTCCTCCTCCTCCTCCTCCTCCTCTCCTCCTCCTCCTCCTCCTCGAGCCTCCTCCTCCTCCTCTCCTCACTCCTCCTCCGCCTCCTCCTCCTCATCCTCCCCTCCTTCCTCCTCCTCCTCCTCCTCCTCGCCCTCCTCCTCCTCCTCCTCCTCCTCCTCCTCCTCCTCCTCCTCTCTCCTCCTCCTCCTCCTCCTCCTCCTGGCGTCAAACCGTACCGCGGGCAGAGATCACGGCCTTCGCGATCGCCATAGAGGAAACGAGAGGGGACATAGTTTACGTCACGGACCACTACCCGCTTCTCACAGCTTGGACAAAAGGCAGAGCTCAAGACCCTGGCCGAGGTAAGAACGCGGATTTATGGGCGCGCATCAAGAGGGCGGTGATGGACACGTCCCCCAGACACATCGTAGTGGAGTGGGCCCCGTCGCACCAGGACGAGGACGAGGCCGAGCTAGTCAACCCGATTTTCGCGATGGGCAACAGCTTTGCAGACGCATTGGCTACGGTTGCGGCAGAAGCTTCTTGGGAAAGAGTGTGCGCGCCACTACCGCGGACAGACGAATGGGACGCGATCTGTGCTCATGTACGATTGCGAGCGAGGCAGGCCTTGGCGGACACGGCGAACATCGACCCCTGGTGCGCTGAGAGGCCCTCCACAGCCAAGCCCAAAGCCAAGAGGGACCGAGTAAAGGAAGTCGTCGACAAGATGAAGCAGCACGATATGGTCAGGCTCAAGAATAAGTGGTGTTGCACAGCCTGCAGACAGTACATCACAGCGGACGCCCTGCAGGAGTTTGCCACGACGGAATGCAACGCTACGTTCATCACGGCCAACGAGATAGTCGAGGTAAAGGGCGACAGGTTCATGGGCAATGGCAAGATACATCGCAGTCACGTGGTCTGTGAATGGGCGCGGTACGGATTGCTATTCTGTGCGCGGTGCGCAGCGCATGGCACGACCATCGGGAAAAGGCTACGTGAGCAATGCAGCGAGACGATCACCAAGTACGGGCAGGATGCGCTCAACAAGATTCGGGACGGACGCTACCCTGGCTACAGGAAAGAACCACCACAAGCTGCACAAGAGGCTCAAATAGCTAGGCAAGTGCGAGAGCTACATGATCAAGAACGGCTAGCGCCACATGAGTACTGCGGCCCATTGGTTTTGAAGGAGCCCCCTCCAGAACCTCATCCTGCACCCCGACCGAGACGGATTACGAGAAAGACGCCAGCGGCAAGCTTTCGGCCAGCAGCGGTACACCCACCAGATTGTGAGTGCGACCCTCTGCCCGAGCCGATGTTACAGGAGTTGGAGGATTACGACGACCCCGAGGTGCAGAGGGACATCGACGACTTCTTCAGCGAAGCTCCCCTGCGCGGTGAGGGGTTAGACCGCGGCGTACCCCAGCGTGGCGAGGGGTTAGGCCACTCCATGCCCCAGCACGGTGAGGGGTTAGACCGTACAGATCGTCGTCATGCAGCTGGATCGGAAACTGCCCCCCACGGCACGCACTGGATGCGCGCAGCCATGTCGGCCACGAGTGCTGAAAGTACCGACCGTGGGGGGAGTCAGAACGGATTGGACAGCCATAACCACGACGACAACTGCAAGATGGACGACAACAGCGGAGTATTGGATCAAGCTCCAGACGCGATGGGACTACCGCCGATCGTCGAGGACACGGGGCCACAAGATTATGCCGATATGCGCGCTGATCTTAGAGAGTGGGCAACACTGTGGTACGACGATCTTACGTGCTTGGCCAGAGACAGCGACAGCTGGCAGGAGTGGTGCGTAGCGATGCTCACGCAGATGCTCACCGACGAGAACAACCACCCGCTGTGCCGCACAGTGAGGCGCTGGTTCCCTGGGCAGACGATGCAGCAGATCATCGAGCAGCAGTGCGGAAGTGCGTGGAGGCAAACGACGGCGAGAAGGGATGAGTTCTACGAACGACTCCATGCGCCAGAGACGGAACCTGAAGAGCATCGCAGATTGGCTCATCGGCATTGGCGTGAACTTGCACGGCTACGAGACATGCTCCGCAGGGCGTTAGGTGATCGGGCGCCAGACAGACAACGGGCGCCACCACCACGACGGCCTGAACCAGATGACGATCAAGCAGGAGACCCCGTCGAAGCTGGCCTCAGTCGCGGCAGCTGGTTTTGCAGGCTGGAGCGGGCGACTGCTGGGAGTACGGCGGCCACGAGTGCACGACCTCCATCCCAAGGGTGGCCTCCAGCGAAGGCTGAGAGGGCCCCTGCCAATTACCTCCATGAGGGGAGGAAGGCTCCCCACTGTCCGCTTTCGGGCGACGCAAGTCGGAGCCGTGCTGGCGGCGGCCGATCGGCTGGAGGAGGTGCTCCCTCACGCGCAAGAAGGACGTGCAGGGCTTCCACGGCGACAAGCGCATCGGCGGCAACATCAAGTCCAGCGGGTGAGGGACCCCTGCGTGGCGAGGGGTTAGGTCACGACGCTCCCCAGCGCGGCGAGGGGTTAGGCCGCGAAGGAGAGCAGAGGCTCGAGGGGCGGCGTCCTGATGGGCAGGAGATTGTGGGGGAGCAGCTCCATGAGCACCCTGACGCGATCTCCCCGAGCCAGGGGCAGCCCGACGACCGCTCCGAGTGGAGGAAAGCACCCCAGCGCGGTGAGGGGTTAGACCGCGGCAGTGAGCGGGAGCAGTACGGGAAGCAGTACGACGCATCCCAGCGCGGTGAGGGGTTAGACCGCAGCCGACCCCTGCAGGGCGAGACTGCGGGGTCAGGCGATCCCCAGCACGGTGAGGGGTTAGACCGTAGCGTTCCCCAGCGTGGCGAGGGGTTAGGCCACCAACCCCAGCGCGGTGAGGGGTTAGACCGCTTCTTTCCCCCGCGTGGCGAGGGGTTAGGCCACACGTTTCCCCAGCGCGGCGAGGGGTTAGGCCGCAGTGGAGCGATTTCGAGCTCGAGCAAGTTGGCGAGTGTGCAGCCTGCCGACTACATTGAGCTGGAGCTCTACGAGGAGGACGACGTGGTGTCCCCCGCCAGCGGCGAGTTGCAGGCGCAGCCCTGTGCGCCTGCCGCCGCCGCCGCCGCTCGCTGGCCCGCCGTCGTGAACCCTTGTGTGCCTGTGCGGGCACCAAGGAGTGGGCCCTCGCTGGCCAATGGGCCGACGAGCGGCGGTGGAACTGACTGATAGAGAAATCCACGGGCTCGCCATGTCGAGTGGGGGCTTCGGTGCCTGCTCGGGGTGGCGGGTCTAGTGGCGTGCCTAACCTAACCTAATCCTCCTCCTCCTCCTCCTCCTCCTCCTCCTCCTCCTCCTGGCCTCGAGACCGTCAACAGAACGACTCGGGACGAGAAACAGGCCCTAAGTGAAGTGGTCTAGACCTCCGGGGCCCACGCATCGAACAACTGGGAGCGGCCGGATTTCTGGGTGTAGATTCGTATGGTTGCCCCCCTCTTCCTCCTCCTCCTCCTCTCCTCTTCCTCCTCTCCTCCTCCTCTCCTCCTCTTCCTCCTCCACCTCGCCCGCTCCTCCACCTCTCCTCTCCTCTCTTCCCCTCCTCCTCCTCCGCCTCCTCCTCCTCCTCCTCCTCTTCCTCCTTCACATCCTCTCCTCTCCTCCTCCTCCACCTCCTCCTCCTCCACCTCCTCCTCGTCCTCCTCCTTTTCCTCCTGCACGGGCGCTCTGCACCGGCCCTGTCCTTCGGAGGGTTCTTCCCCTGCGCCTCGCCCCACGCGGGCGAGGGCGGCGGCTCCGGCATCCGGGCGCCTCTGCGGAGGGGGGGGGAGCGAGCGGGGAGGAGGATCGAAGATTGAGGCGTCGCCACAGCAGCGAAACGCATCCAGGGGAGAGGTCGGGGGGGAGGGGGCGAAGGGAAGGACGAGGGAGGAGAGGAGGATGGGAGGGTTCTCCTGGCCGCACCCCCGTCTCCTCCGCCTGCTGGTTCCCTAGCCGCCTCCCTCCTCTCAGCTCCTATTTTCATCCTCCCCTCCTCCTCCTCCTCCTTCCCCTCCTCCTCCTCCTCCTCCGCCTCCTCCGCCTCCTCCTCCTCTTTTCCTCCTCCTCCTCCTCCTCCTCTTTTCCTCCTTCTCCTCCTCCTGCTCCTCCTCCTCCTCGGATGTTTCTTACCATTAACTAGTCGTATGAAGTATCATTCGTACTCTTCTTCCTCTTAGTATCCTCAGTACTCTGCTTATTATCATGGGTATGATGATTATTATTCGTATGATCATTCTGTTTACTATTAACATTACGAGTATAATTGTTACTATCACTGTACGTAGTATAAGTACTCATCCCCTCCCTGGCGGGGAGACACTGTGAGCGCTGCCGTAGCACGGCAGCAGCGTCGCGCACGGGATAAAGCGGCGGCACGAGTGCCTCTGCGCGGTGTTGACGGAGCGCGGGAGGCCACGGACCGCTTGGTCGCGAAGTTGCAGGTGAAGTTGGGCGAGGCCGACCGCAAAGTTCTGGCGCTGGAGACCGCGATGAACAGCCTCTTCGGTGACGCGGAGGTGGCGGAGAGGGTCGCCTGCACCCTCCCCGCCCTCACGGCGCTCTTGGCTGGAGTGCGCCCCGACGCATTGGACATCTTGAGGCGCAATGTGGCTCTCCCAATCTTGGCCGCTGCTGACAAGGCGGAGCTCAGCCACGCCCAGAAGCACGCGGGGAGGAGACGCGGCGCAATGGCACGGCTGCCAAGGCGCAGGCGGACAACGAGCCGTTCTGCTGGACACTGGACGCGCCTGGGTTCTCAACCCTCGGCTGGACTTTGGGAGCGTCTCAGGGGCAACGCGGCCGCCTCGGCGTCTGTGTGGCAAGGGCTTCGCTCCTTGTGTTAAGTCGGGCATGTCCCCCTACAGGGGGGATTTTCGACGAAAAAGCAAAATACCCTAAAAATAATAAGAAAATAATCCAAAAAAAGTCTTCGGACTATTTTTCGAGTATTTTTGTTACCTTTTGGGGGTATTTCGGGGTACTCTTTATTTTTCGTCGAAAATCCCCCTGTAGGGGGACACGCCCGACATGATCTCTGTGTGGATCCGTAGTCGTTTCCTCGCGCGACGTCTCGGAGGCGGCGGAGCAGCCGGAGTGCAGCGGCGCGCGGGAGGCGGCCGCCGAGGGGGACCTCGCTGGCCCGCCGCAGGCACGCCCGGGGCGGAGGCCGCCCCCGAGGGCCCCCCTACGGGGGGACGCCCTGCCCTGCCGAGGGCGCCGCGGGCGCTGCCACTGCCGGGGCGCCGGGGGAGGGAGGAAGGAGGTGGAGAGGGAGACACGGTTTCAGAGGCTCCGGTGTGCTCTGCAAGGTTCTGGGGGTCCTCGGCGGCCGGAACCTGCACGACTTCTTGCGGGGCGAAGACATGGGAGAAGGGACTTCCGCGCGGATTTCTTGGATCCGCGCCGGGCCCCACTCCCTGGCGCGCGGAGCGCGCCAGGGGCGGCGGTGGAGGCGGCACAAGGGCGCCTCAGCGCGGGAATTGTTGGATTTCGGACACCCCTGTGCCAGGGCCAAATATTTCATGCCAGCATTGACATGGCGCCGACCACACGAGCACCGAAACCAATAAACATTAGTTTATTGTTGACGAGTCTTGTAGGGCCATTTGGTGACTGTCATGGGCTCCTGTGGGCCAGGCTTCGGGGTCTGTTTGGGTCCAAGAAATCGCGCGGAGTGTCAAACGTTTATGTTTATGGCGTTTTTTCTTCGTCGAACTGGGGGGGAAGCATCCACGTCTTCTTGGAGCGCTCGAGGGGTCGCTGGGGGTCAGGGGAGAGGAGGAAGTCTTCTTGGAGCGCTCGAGGCGTCGCGAGGCGTCCCTGGAGGTCTCCGCGGGGCGTCCCCAGAGGGCGCCCAGTGAGGCCCACCAAGAGCCCAGGCCGCTCAGAAGCCTCGATCCGCGGTCGTTGGACCTCGAGGGGGAGGAAGAGGCGGAATGAGGAGGAAGAGGAGGAAGAGGAGGAGGAGGAGGAGGAGGAGGAGGAGGAGGACGCGGCGGCGTAATTAGGAGAGTAGAGGATCCGTGAGGCTGAGACAGGATGCCTTAACACGTCTGTCGGGAGGAGGCGGCCATCAGGGAAGAACTGGAGACGGTTCCAGCTTGAAAGAGCGAGCAGGCGTTTGCCAAGGGTGGTGCCCCGCAGCTAGAGGTACTGCCTGCGGTGCTTGTACTGATGCAGGGAAACCAGCTCTGACAGACAGACTCGGTGGAAGGAGGATGAGGAACAGGACTGAGGATTGCCCGATTGGTATCAGCGCCCTTTGATGGGACCAAGAATTGGCTGCCCACCTGAGGCACGGTGGTTTCGGGCGTACACGCTGACATGAAGGCCTACACCTTACCGTTCCCGCGGGAGGGGGCCTGCGGTCTCCAACTCTGCGCGTCACCAAGGACCTCCGACGCCGCGTTCTTGTCTGACCCCGTCTGGGTCCCTCCCCAGGGACGTTCGTTTCATCCCGAGTCTTTTTGTTGATAGTCCCGTGGCCCAGTGAGGGCCCCCAGGAGCCGAAACTTCACCAAGCTTCGATGGGGAGTTTCTCACGACACGAGGCGGTTAGGGCAGTCAACGACTTTGTGGCAGAGCGCTGCCTCAAGAGATGGGCCGAGGCAAAAAAGAGCAGGAGTGAAGAGGAACCCGGGGCGCCGCTCATGCCCCCTTTCGGCATCATCTGCGGCTTCGGGAAGTCGTCGGCGAAGGCGTCGAAGCTCGGCTCCTCGTCCGCCGAGATCCGCTTCCTTTGGCGGACGGGGCCGGAGATACCGACACCGAGGCCTTCACGCACACGCGTGCCCCCAGACCCCCTCGAATCCTGGGGAAAAAAGTGAACGTATTCTTATTCGGCGTTTCGACATTGTGCGGAAGGGGGGGGAGGGGTGGGTCTGGCTACGGGCCTCTGCTCAGTGCCACTGTTTGCAACAGTGCGTCCTATGGGGGGAGACTCCACCTGCGCGAAACACGCGCCCAAGTATTAATCCTGATCGTAGTCCTCGTGATTGCGGAGACTCTTCCCGTCTCCTCTGCACCATTCGACCATTTGCCTTCTCGCACTGGCGGAGGACATCCTTCCGCCCCCTGCTCTGCCTCCACCTCGTCCTCCTGCCTCCCCCCTCATCCACATTGGATGAGAATCTAGGTTTCGACTGGGCCATCGGGGAAACACTATAGGGGGTAAGTGATATCTCTGGCGATGTCCTCAACTTTTTCGAGGGGGGGCTGACTTTATCGGGGCCTGGGAAATCCCCTGTTCACAGGAGGGAATCAATCAGAGAATCCGCCGCAAGAGCAATCAAACTGTAAATCCTCAGCATAAGGATGTAAGCAGGAACGCCTCACATGCTGATTCAAGCAGTGAGCTCTCCACATCAGAATTTGAGCAGCAAATTGACCACACACGCATTCCAACACTACGTGGTTCACGCGATGATTGAAACGCAAGTGTGACAGTTTACGCATTCAATCATCCGTGCAGACATGATCCTCAAACTCCATATATCGAGATTTCTCTATTCGGTTGTTCTGACCGTCTCACACATCCCTGTGAAGGCTTGAACGGTGGATGTCAAAAAAAAGTCGAATCCGCCCAGACATGCATAGTTATAGGCTAGATTCGGTGGAGTCGGAGGCGCATGGAGAAGGCAGGGTGAGACGACGGAGTGGGAAGCCTGCCGGGGCGAGTCGTCTCTCGCCCCGTGTTGCTCCAGCGCTGCGTGTTCAAAGGTTCCCTCGAAAAAGGGGGCGCAACCACTGGCGAGCGCCCAACGATCTTCCGCGTCTGCTGGCCCCCCTCGTCCGCTTGGCACGAAGGGGAAGCAACGACCAGTCGGAGCGGGCCCCTGGGACAAGGTCTTCAACCCCAGCCGCCCCTTCGCGGCCCCAGGTCCCGGGGAGGCCCCTGGGCGCCCCGATACAGCGAAGAGCACTCTTCGTGCCGACTCCGTCGCTTGGGCCGCTGTCGTCCATGTCGCTGCCGTCGTCTGCGATGCCCCCGTCGCCGTCGCCGCCCTCGCAGTCGGCGCCGTCTTCGTGGCCGTCGCCGCCGATGCTCTGGTCGTCGGCCTCGTCGTTACCCTTGCGTTCGGCGTCCTCGTCGCCCTCGCCTCCTCGCCTCCCTCGGCCTCGGCGGGCCCCCGCCCCCAAAAGGAGAACCCAGCATGAGACATCGGCAAGTCGGATCGGCGACCGACATGAACTCTGGATCGGCGGGAAATCGGCCGCCCGAGTCGGGAGAAGCCGACCCGGCGGAGATCGGCAGGCCAGAGAAGGCCTCCATTGAGACATCTCGGAGCCCTGAGACGGCGGGGGCGTTGGATACGGAGCCCTTAGATAAGGAACCCAGGGTCTGGAAGCCGGTGGAACTCCAACCGAGGCTTGGCCATGGACATCACCGCCGCCCTCCTCAGATGAGGGATCCTCCAGGGTCTGGAGCCTCGTGGGCGCATTCCTTAACCAACACCCCCACCTAGGGGAACAAAAAGTGACATAAACATAAAAACTCGGAGGTCCGCGCGGATTTCTCGGATCGGCGCTGGACCCCCCTCCCTGGCGCGCGGAGCGCGCCAGGGGCGGCGCCGGAGGCGCCCCCAGGAGCCCCAGCCCCGATCCGAGAAATCCGCGGGGACCTCCGAGTTTTTATGTTTATGTCTATTTTTGCCCCCCGACCACCGTATCGGAAGCCCAGGTCGAATCGAATCGGAGCCGGAGGACCTCGAAGTCGCATCGGGTCGAAATCGGAGGCATCGAGAGGAGGAGGAGGAGGAGGAGGAGGAGGAGGAGGAGGAGGAGCAGGAGGAGGAGGAGGAGGAGGAGGAGGAGGAGGAAGGAGGAGGAGGGGAGGGGGAGGAGAAGGAGGGAGGAGGGAGGAGGAGGAGGAGGACGAGGAGGAGGAGGAGGAGGAGGAGGAGGAGGAGGACGAGGAGGAGGAGGAGGAGGAGGGGAGGGAGGAGGAGGAGGGGGAGGAGGAGGGGGAGCACGTGCCCCCGCCCTGCCCTGGCGAGAGGGCGCGCGCGGGGCGCGCTGGCGGCCAAGGAGGCCCCCCGCGTCGCGGTGCGCACCGCGGCACGAGCGCGCCGAGGGCCTCCCCGCGCGGAGGGGGCCCAGAGGCACACACACACACAGGTAAGCTGGCGCAGAGCCCAGGATTCCACGGCATGTTCCCCCTACTGTCTGGGCCAGCGTGCTAAAAAAGCAAGTGCGTGTGCTACCAAAAACAGGCGTGAGGAATCACAAATGTGATAGGCAACGCCGAACAAGTGTGAGAAACCGACTGAGAGAGAAAACAGCGTGTCGTTTATCACAAGTGTTGTTGAGCACACTTGCTTTTATCACACTGTATTTGGTCACCAAATTTTTTATCTCACACACACACACGTCTTCCCTCCCACTTCCAATATTTCCCCATGTTTCCTTGGGAATCGGCATGACTTGTGTCTGTGTGGCTTTTCCCTCCTGAGGCGCGAGCGCCCAGACATCCCAAGACGTGCGACTCCCCGATGTGTTCGGTATACGGGGCCCCCGGAAGTCCTCAGTCGAAGCGAGAACGAGGACAAATTCGGGTGGGGATACATCGAGAACCTCTGGGATCCAGCGGCTCTGGAGGATGTATCAGACGCAGCGGCCTTCTCGGAGCGTTCCGGAACGCAGCATTCCGGAACGCCCTGGAACAGATTTATCATTGTCCCAGCCCCGCCCGAAGCCCCATTCCCCGGGGCCTGTTTTGCATCCAGAGTCGTCGTTCGACGGCCCCACTGCCTGACGAGGACCCCCTGGAGACCGCAGACGGCCCAAAATCTCTACATTCGGACCTAGGCCAAAAGAACATAGCCCCCCGTCGGCCAGAACAAAGAGAACTTTCAGGGGTACCCTCCCCAGCGTGCAACAGAACATCCAACAAACACGAAGAACACTGGGGTACCCTCTGCGAAACGACCTTGATCTCATACCTCGGTCCGACTGCAGTCCTGAATTATTCGGAACGCGAGCATGTCGGGGATCCGCCTCCTCCTCCTCATCCATCTCCTCCTCCTCCTCCTCCTCCTCCTCCTCCTCCTCCTCCTCCTCCTCCCCCAACCTCCTCCTCCTCTCGGCATGATTACCTAACAGCGAAGACTGATAGGTTTCTAGTAGTGTCAAAAGAAAGCATCTTGTCTCCCCAGGGGGGTCCGGGCAGGATCCGGGGAGAATCCGCGGAAGTCGTTTTAAGCAAACAGTTACACACTTCGTAATCTTCGAGGTCCCAGAACTCCATTCCCGGGCCACATTCTGCATGCCCTGAGCAAGCTGTAGGCCACTTCGTGCTCTTCGACTTCCCAGAACTCCATTCCCGGGCCACATTTTGAATGCCCGGAGCCAACTGTTGGCCACTTCGTGCTCTTCGATTTCCCAGAACTCCATTCCCGGGCCACATTTTGAACGCCCGGAGCCAACTGTAGGCCACTTCGTGCTCTTCGAGTTCCCAGACCTCCATTCCTGGGCATGATTTTGAATGCCGGGAACCAACTGTAGGCCACTTCGTGTTCTTCGAGTTCCCAGAACTCCATTCCCGGGCAACATTTTGAATGCTGAGGCAGGCTGATGCTGAGGCTGAGGCAGGCTGAGGCTGAGGCAGGCTGAGGCTGAGGCCGAGGCTGAAGGCAGACTGAGGCTGAGGCTGAAGCAGGCTGAGGCTGAGGCTGAGGCAGGCTGAGGCTGAGGCTGAGGCAGGCTGAGGCTGAGGCAGGCTGAGGCTGAGGCTGAGGCTGAGGCTGAGGCTCAGGCTGAGGCAGGCTGAGGCTGAGGCCGAGGCTGAAGGCAGACTGAGGCTGAGGCTGAAGCAGGCTGAGGCTGAGGCTGAGGCAGGCTGAGGCTGAGGCTGAGGCTGAGGCAGGCTGATGCTGAGGCAGGCTAGGCTGAGGCTGAGGCTGATGCAGGCTGAGGCTGAGGCAGGCTGAGGCTGAGGCCGAGGCTTGAGGCTGAGGCTGAAGCAGGCTGAGGCTGAGGCTGAGGCAGGCTGAGGCTGAGGCTGAGGCAGGCTGATGCTGAGGCAGGCTGAGGCTGAGGCTGAGGCTGATGCAGGCTGAGGCTGAGGCAGGCTGAGGCTGAGGCCGAGGCTGAAGGCAGACTGGCAGGCTGAGGCTGAGGCTGAGGCTGAAGCAGGCTGAGGCTGAGGCAGAGGCAGGCTGAGGCTGAGGCAGGCTGAGGCAGGCTGAGGCTGAGGCTGAGGCTGAGGCAGGCTGAGGCTGAGGCTGAGGCTGAGGCCGAGGCTGAAGGCAGACTCAGGCTGAGGCTGAAGCAGGCTGAGGCCGAGGCTGAGGCAGGCTGAGGCTGAGGCTGAGGCTGAGGCAGGCTGATGCTGAGGCAGGCTGAGGCTGAGGCTGAGGCTGATGCAGGCTGAGGCTGAGGCAGGCTGAGGCTGAGGCCGAGGCTGAAGGCAGACTGAGGCTGAGGCTGAAGCAGGCTGAGGCTGAGGCTGAGGCAGGCTGAGGCTGAGGCTGAGGCAGGCTGATGCTGAGGCAGGCTGAGGCTGAGGCTGAGGCTGATGCAGGCTGAGGCTGAGGCAGGCTGAGGCTGAGGCCGAGGCTGAAGGCAGACTGAGGCTGAGGCTGATGAGGCAGGCTGAGGCTGAGGCTGAGGCAGGCTGAGGCTGAGGCTGATGCAGGCTGAGGCTGAGGCTGAGGCAGGCTGAGGCTGAGGCTGAAGGCAGGCTGATGCTGAGGCAGGCTGAGGCTGAGGCTGAGGCTGATGCAGGCTGAGGCTGAGGCAGGCTGAGGCTGAGGCCGAGGCTGAAGGCAGACTGATGCTGAGGCTGAGGCTGAGGCTGAGGCTGAGGCTGAGGCTGAGGCAGGCTGAGGCTGAGGCAGGCTGAGGCTGAGGCTGAGGCAGGCTGAGGCTGAGGCTGTGACTGCGATGCCGTTGCCACTGCGACTGTCATCGCGAATGCGACTACGACTGCGAGAACAGCAGAATTCTACAACTGGATTCGCATCTGAATCTTAAGGGGAATGCTTCCAGATATGCTGCTACACATCGCTGTTAGGTTGCTTTGCCGGGATAATTTGATGATTTCGCGACGCGAACCTGTCTGGGCCCGATGGCCGGCTTGCTTCCTCGTGGGGCCCCTGAAGCCCCGACCCTGCCCCCCAGGGGGCCAGAACGACCCCCCTATGGGTATGGGTGTGTGTTGCTCGTTCGTCAGAAAAGACACCCAAGATGCCTCCCAGAATCGAGGAGGCGCGAACATGGTTCAGCGACGTCCGGATCAGCGACGAGTCCCGCTTCCCTGCAGAAGTGGCGCGCTCCGGCGCCAAAAATCGGGCGGCGCTGCCGCCATCTTCTGGGGAGTGCCTGGCCTGATCCGTGGATCCCTACTCCATCTTAGCGTGGGCCCGACAAGAGGATCTCCAAAGGCCCCCAGGAGCCCCCCAGAAGCCCCCAAAGCCCCCGAGAGGCTTCCCACAGGCCCCCAAGAGCCTCCCGAGAGAGCCCCAAGATGCTCCCAAGGGACCCTCAGCGCCCCCCTTGCTACAAAACGGACTTCGAAGACAAACCATATCCCCATTGAATACCTTGCCCACTATCGTTCCAGCGACGAGTTGCCCATAACGTGGGCATCACACATCTCCGAGACAAATACTGCCACAACCCACACACACTTCCGCGTCTTCACGACCAATCGACCAACTGCAGCAATTGTGCAAGATGGGCTGGCGGAACTGCGCGAAGCGTTTTCCGCTGCCGCAGCGGGAACCGGCGTGCCAGCTGCTAGCGGCGTGGTTCAAGCTGAATCCTGGGGAAAAAACTCCTTTACCTCGGATGTCTCCATCGATCCATCATCACCTTTTCCACCCCTCACTCTGACACTCGGGAGCGGCCAAGAGGGGGGTGTCCAAGAGCGGGGGGTGCAAACCATGACCGGCGGCATGTGCGCGGCCCAGCGGGGGGGGCCAGGGACGTAATGAAATAAGAAGAGGCGCCATGAGATCTGAGGAGATATCATGCCCCCCGCCATGATATCCCCCCCCCCTAGCCATCACCCCCCTCTTTTCCGCCCCCGAGACAAGTGCCTGACCCCCCATGGTGGTGCCCTCGTCGGGGGCCCCCGTGGGAGCCCCCGGACGCAGGCTCCTGCCTCCACCACCACCTTCCCGATGCCCTCCCCTTCCCGACAAAGGTGCCCGGCAGAACCCTACAGCTGGTGCCCTCCCTGGGGTCCTCGCGGCAGACCCGGGGAGCATGCTCGCCGCTTCCATGATGCCCCTCGACTGGGCCCGCCATCTTCCTCCTCCCTCAACTCCTCCTCCTCCTTCTCCAACTCCTCCTCCTCCTCCTCCTCCTCCTCCTCGTCCTCCTCCTCCTCCTCCTCCTCCTCCTCCTCCTCCTCCTCCTCCTCCCCCTCCTCCTCCTCCTCCGCCTCCTCCTACTCCCCTCGTCCCCCTCCCTCCTCCCAACAGACTGAGCGCAGGGGGCTTCCGCAGGCTGACCGGCGCGCCCGCGTCACCCCCCGCCCACCCCCGCAGACTGGGCGCGGCGGGGCGGGGGCCGCGCGCGAGCTGCGGGGGGCCCACCTTGCGTAGCCCAGGTTGTCCCGGAGCAAGTTCGCGGCCTTCTCCACGTACTCGTCCCGCCCGGCCAGGTTCAGGGCGACGCCGAACCACAGGAGGGACGAGGCCAGGGGGACCTGACGGGCTTGTTTTTTCCACCGCCACCACCATAATAAGTAGGAGGGGAGGGGGGTCTTCCTCCTCCTCCTCCTCCTTCTCCTCATCCTCCCCCTCCTCATCCTCCAACTCCTCCCCCCCTCCAACTTATGGTGGTGGTGGTGGTGGAACACAGGCACATCAGGACCAGCAGCCAAGCGAAGACGAAGTAGGTAAGGCAGCTGATCGCCCAGTGGTCCGCGTCGGTCTCGGTGACGCCGGCCAGGAACGCCAGGACGTAGCAGGACGAGCCCGCGAGCAGGCTCACCAGGAGCAGGAGGACGATGAGCTCCCTGAGCATCCAGAAGGCCACGTACCTGGCTAACCCTGGGGCGTCCTGGAGTCTCAGAGAATACACAAGCGCGCTCCACTACTCGCGAAGTGTATGCTCGCAAATGGCCTGCATCCGCCGAGGGGGATCTACGATACATCATCTCGATGCAGACGTGTGCTTCTCAAACGTTTGTGAATGAGCACTTTGCGAGTAACGGGACGCGCCCGGTGAGAGAAGCCTCTGGAGGCCCAGACAGAAACGGGCGGCCCACGAACTCGACAAGGGACACAGTCCTGTCACGCACGCGCGATGCTCCTCGTGCTCGTCGGCGACGTCGTCCTCTCCCTCACCTCGCGCCACGCAGCCTCCGGATCTTCTCAGGTGTCGCCCATCGGGAAGCCCCGATTGACCGACACCGCATACCAGTTTGCCCCTCGTTGCACTAGAAATAAGCTGCCCCAGAATGCCTTGACAAGGCACGTGCCAGGGACGCGCCGCGGGATGAGCCAGGCGGCTTGCCGAGTGTCAGGGGGCGCTCCACGGGATGTGCCGGGCGACGTGCCAAGGGACGCGCCAAGGGACGCGGAGCGGGACGCACCAGAGGACATGCCCGGGGACACGCGAGGGACGCGCCAGGGCTCGTGTCAGGGGACGTGCAGGGGTCGTGCCTCGGGACGTGCCAGCGTGCCTGAGGACGTGCCAGCCTGAGTCGTTGCGCAGGTCGCTGCGGAGGGGCATCCTCTGCGCGCGCATGCGAACTCGCTCGGGATGTCAAGCGTGTGGGCGTTCGCGAGCGAGGCTTTGTCAGGAGACACGGGCTGCGTCAGCAAGCGCGAACTCGCCCAGGACTTTATGCAGGAGGCTCCCTGGATCGGCTTCACGCCAGAGTGACCCTTGGCAAGACTGACCTTTGGTGCGCGACGTTCGCGGGGCCCGGGGGGGGCAAACCCGAGAGCGCCAGCCGCTGCTGTCGCATCGCATTCAGCCATCTGAAGACCATGAGTGCACCTGCACCAAAGTTCGCTTCGGTGCAAGGTTACGCTCACGTGCAGTCGACTGGGGCTTCCATTATGTTGAGGAGAAGACGGGAGCGGACAACATGCTCCAAAAACCAGCGCACCCAAACCTGGATACCGCCACGCACCGAAGGCAAGGATTAAAAGACATATTGACACGGCTGGGAAGGCACGCCGCAAACGAGAGAGCGGGTGCACTTGCAAGCCGTTTTTTTACCCTGGAGGAGGGGGAGGAGGAGGAGGAGGAGGAGGAGGAGGAGGAGGAGGAGGAGGAGGACAGGGAGGAGGAGGAGGAGGAGGAGGAGGAGGAGGAGTCGACTGGGGCTTCCTCGTGCCTCCTGGGGAGTCCTGGGCTGTGCCTCCTCCGGGTTTGGGGCGGGGGGCTGCCAAGGCGCCCGCGTCTTAGGGCGCCCAGGGGCCTCCTGAGGCCTCTGCACCCGCTATTGTCTAGGATTGCATTTACGCGGAGGGCGCGCCATCCATCGAGCGGGCCAGCATGGCACCCACTGCTTTTCTCGATGTATACATTTATATCTATGTATATATATATATATATAGATATGCATATGTATATCTATACACGCACACGTCACTATCTATACATACTTATATGAGTATATATGTAGGTATGTATATAAGTATGTATGTATGGATGTATGTATGTATGTATGTATGTATGAATGAATGTATGGATGAATGTATGCATGTATGCATGTATGTATGTATGTATGTATGTATGCGTGCATGTATGCATGAATGTGTGCATGCGTGCATGCGTACAAGTGTGTGTGTGTGTGTTGTGGGGTGTTGTGTATGTATGTATCTATGTATGTATGCATGTATGTATGTATGTATGTATGTTTGCATGTATGTGTGTATGTACGTACGTATAGATTAGTGTACGTATGTATGTACGTATGTATGCATGCATGCATGTATGTATGTATGCATGTATGTATGTATGGGTGCATGTATGTATGTACGTGTGCAGGTGTGTACGTATGAATGTGTAGGTGCATGCATGCATACATGTATGTGTGCATGTCTATGTGTACGTGTGTATGCATTTGTGTATGTATGTATGCGTACATGTATATATGCATGTACATATATATGTGTGTAAAGGTAGGCGTACATGTACATGTACATGTGCGTCTGCAGGTGAGTGTACATGTAAGTGTAACTGTACATGTAACTTCGATGTATCTTATATGTGTATATATGTGTGTATACGTACATGCATCGGTGAATGCATATGTATATGCAGCTGTATAGGTAGATGTGCTTGTATATGTATGTGCAAGTGTGTAAATGTATATGGCCGCACCAATCCAATCCGCATCGCTCCACCAGAACTTTCCGCCCTGAGCGGGGCGCTGCGTCTGTAGGAACATGGGGACGGCATGAGATGGCTGAGGAGGGCCAAGGTAGGCCCCCGAAGGCAGCGAAGTGACCCCTGAAACGACGTAGACAAGCCAAAGACGGCTGGAGATGACCGGAAGCCTCGCGAAGGACCCCCATTCGCGAGCCATGCACGAGTCTCAAGGGTGCACACATCAAGCGGAGGGGAGGCGGGAGGATCGGCCTCATTGGCATTGAGGGGAAAGGGGGAGGGGGGGCAACCCTGGATCACCCACAGTTGTACTTTACACAAGTGAGACATGCATCTGCAAGTGGCACGTGCGTGTTCGTACAAAATTAGATCCAGCACGCAAGCATCGCAGAAGATGGGCAAGAACAGGAATATGAGGTCGGATCCGAGGAGATAATGAGGATCACCAGATGGCTATTGGGGACGAGGTGCAATAGCGAGATCGCAGTCGAGCGCAGCTGGGGTTGCCAGACCGTCATACCTTTCGACGAGAGCAGCGCAGGAGGGGATTCCACGCCTCGAGATTGCAGTGGAAGGAAAGCTGCGAATGACGATGTCTCGAGCGAAACTGTCTGTCTGGAAAACCGACTGGCAAATTGCAACACGTCGGGCTCCTATGCAGGGGAGGATGTCTCACGCGACAAGGCCATCTCTCGAAGAACGACGTCCAGTGTGTTTTTGAAGGCACAAAATCAAAATATTGCGCATCCATTGTGCATCTGGGCTCTGACATCACGATCTGCGCGAGGGGTGCGGCCGAGCTTCATGATTATGAACAAGTCTAAAAAAGAAACGGCTAGAACAGTCGCGCGCGGCCAGGGGACGGCTTCAACTGATCGCATCCAAGCTCTACTCCCTCGAAGAGCGGCGAATGAAAGCATATCTACATATATATATATATATATGTATGAGTATGCATCAGCATACATATATATATATATATAGATCGAGGGAGGTGTATATACATTGCTTATGCGAAATGAGGTACGTGCATGGACCTGATATATGTGTATATATATATATATATGTATGTATGTGTATGAATGTGTACATGTAGTAAACCGTTCATACGACAAATAAGCATATAAACGCATACATGCACATACACAGTACTAGAATATATGTGTACACATATGGGTGCATGTATGATGATGGATGTATGACTGAATGTATGAATGTGTGCGTATGGTTCTGTGTATGCATGTATGAATATATGAATGGATGTGCGTATGTGTGTATGTACATGTGGATGTGTTCAAGTACTTGTGTAGCCTGTATGTATGCATGTGTGAGCGCATGTATGTGTGCACGCATGCCTGCACGCATGCATGTATGTGTGCACACACGTACGTGTGTGTGTGTGTGTATCTGTGTACGTGTGTATGTACCCATGCACGTACGAACGTATACACGACCGTATGCATGCACGCATGCAATGTGTGTTCGTGTGCGGACACGACGTCTCAACGCCGGCGCTGCTCGCAAGAAAGCGAGCGCGGGCCACACGAGGGTCCGGGGGCCTCCTGCGGGGCCCCGGACCTGGCTCGAGCCAGCGCGCTCCGGCTGAAGCGCTGGCCGCAGCAGCTCCACACGGCGCACGCAGATAGTTTCTCCAGGGTTTTTTGGGCCCGCCAGCGACCAAGCAGCCCAGGTTCGAGGTTCGAGGTTCGAGGCTTTCAAGCGTGTTCGTGGTTTCTTGGCGGTCTTCCGCCCTCGGGATGTGTTCCAGCGGCTGCGCCTCGCCGAGGGCGTTGCAGGGGTGTCCGCACCGTCCCAAACGGACAGCAGAGACTCGAGTTATGACCCAAAAACCGAACTCGGCGGCGAGCGAGGGGGGAAGTGAGAAGAGGCGGGCCTTCTCGGAGGACTCGGACATCCCCCTGGCCTGCTTAGAAGTGTTCTGAGCCTTGCGCGAAGACGCAGAAGACTTCTCAGAATGCACGAGGGCTTCAGAGCAGTCTCGTCGCCTTCTGAGAAGGTCTTCTCCTCCTCACTTCCCCCCCTCGCCATCGCTCGGATGTCCATTCCCTGTGTTCTTTCTCGGTTTCGTGCGTGGTTTTTTGGCCAAGTGATCAAGGATGCTCCTCGATGGTCCTCTCCTAAGGAAAAATGCACACGTCCGAGCGATGCTAAGCCCCTCGCTCGCCGCCAAGATTCCCAATCGCGATCGCGCTACTTTGGATGGCAGGGCTGTGGAGCACGCTCGCGAGCGCCATCGCCCTCTGGATCGGCATCGCGCCCTCTGGATCCCCATTTGCCTCCCCCCGATCGCGAGGGCGCCAGCCAAACCATCCGCCTCCAGAGGAATACAAAACGGAGCAGGTGAAAGAACCCGGAGTTCTCACTCAGAACCGACCACTTAGAAGTAACACAGGATAAATGCCAATGAAAACGGAACATGTATTAATAGATGAATGTATTCTAGTACAGCCACTTGTTCCCCTCACCCACCGGCATGCTAACACCCTTATCACAATGGCGAGTGCATCCTCACCGCCCTGGCTCCCACCCCACACATGTGATTCCAAATCGCATTCGATGCAAGATCGCGTAAGCGGCCGATCTACAACGCATATTGTAAGTGCAAGGGCAAGCGGAGACAGACACATATATAATACACATGCGCATATACGTGTAATATTATATATATGCATCTATACACATGCAACTTTACACGTATGGACATTATAACTATAGAAGTATGTGTGTATGCCTAGAAATGAAAATAACAATAGCTCGTCACAACAGGAAAAGCAAAGCCCGCACCTTTCCGCACGTGGCGAGAATCCGCAGGCCCACCCCCGAAACCGACGCCGGGGGGGGGCACGCTGCCGCACCTGCCAGCAGACAGAACTTTGGCCGGAGCCCTCTGCTGAAAAACGCCCAAGCACGTACATCTGGGCGGCATGAGGAGGAGGAGGAGGAGGAGGAGGAGGAGGAGGAGGAGGAGGAGGAGGAGGAGTCGACTGGGGCTTCCTCATGCGTCCTGGGGAGTCCTGGGCTGTGCCTCCTCCAGGAGGAGGAGGAGGAGGAGGAGGAGGAGGGCGGCATGGGGTACGAGGACACGAGGGCCCTGCGGTGGATGCCGGCCAAGAGCCAGAACACGCACTTGGCCAGCACGGCCGTGGCCATGCCAGGCAGCATGTCCCGCAAGATCTGCTCCGCCAGGTCCTGGGAGGCCTCCCCAAATGGGGATGGAGCAGGTGGGGCCTCTCCGACTCGTCAGCGACGACGGGGTGCAGGAACTGGGCGCCCGATCACGCCGCATCGTCAGATGCATCGGCGATGCGGCGCGATCCTCCGACCCGACCTACGACCACATCTAGAGGGCCTCGTCTGGTTCGGACCCGCCCCTGTTCCCGACCTACTTCGGCCTCATTTGGACGGCCTCGTTCGGTTCGGACTCGGCGCGATCCTCCGACGCGACACACTTCGGTCTCGTTGAAGGGGGCCTCGCTCGGTGCGGCCTCGTCGCTGTCCCCGGTCGACGCTTCGGTTCGGCCTGGAAGCCGCAGGAGTCCCCAGACAGAGCCGCGGAGGCCTCCAGAGGCCTACCAAGACCCCACGCTGCCCAGAAGCATTTTTTGTATATTAACTAGTCTACACATGTATATACACATGCACATATAGAGAGAGATGTATGTACATCTATGAACTGTCCAGAAGCATTCAAACTGTATGTATGTGTATATAGGTATATATGTTATGCAAACACGTCGCCACGCGATGCACGAGCACCGACCCTCTGCGGTGGCCCTTGACGGCATCTGGACATCCCCGCGGAGGCTCCAGGCGGCCGCCAAAGACCTTCAGAACAACCTGGACAAAAAACACGACTTCTGCCACATCTCGGGATTCGAGAACTAACCAAAAACAGCGAAAACCTAAATTCCCAATGTGTGGGCGGTCCGTGAGGCCTCTGCGACCACCTGGAAGCCCAATAAATTCAGACCCTGTCCACCACAGAAAGGAAAGCTCAAAAAACGCCGCTCTCGAAGTCCATCCTCCTCCTCCTCCTCCTCCTCCTCCTCCTCCTCCTCCTCCTCCTCCTCCTCCCCCTCTTGAACGGACTTAGATACTGAACTTGTAGCGTCTGCGAGAACAAATCCAATGGCAACGAGACCAGGATGCCTGCCCTCAAGGGCACAGTGTATACGCCTGCCAAAGAGTATGGGGAAGAGAAGAAGAGACAACCATGAATCGTAACCTAGTCAAGTAAGGGGGGAAAGACCAAGTACTGACCTCCTCCTGAACGGTTTCCCCGGGGGCCGTAAGCGACCCGAGGAGGAGGAGGAGGAGGAGGAGGAGGAGGAAGGAGGAGGAGGAGGGGGAGGGGGGGATGAGCGATGGAGGAGGATGAAGAGGATGGAGGAGGAGGAGGAGGAGGAGGAGGAGGAGGAGGGGGAAGAAGAGGAGGAGGAGCAGGGGGAGGGGGAGGAGGCGATGGAGGAGGAGGAGGAGGAGGAATAGGAGAGGAGGAGGGAGGAGGAGGAGGAGGAGGAGGAGGGGGGGAGGAGGAGGGAGGAGGGAGGAGGAGGAGGAGGAGGAGGAGGAGGAGGAGGAGGAGGAGAGGAGGAGGAGGAGGAGGGAGGAGGAAGGAGGAGGACGGGCCGAAGCCTGCGGAGAAACCCTCGACCTCCTCCTCCTCCTCCTCCTCCTCCTCCTCCTTTCCTCCTCCTCCTCCTGCTCCTCCTCCTCCTCCCTCCCAGCTTGCACGGACGGGCGGGCCGGCGCACAGAGCCAGCGGCCAGGCGCTCTCGAGTCTCCGGGCTCCCCGGCGGACGCCCCCTGCCCTCGGATCCGCCAGCCGTGGGCGATCTCGTGAGCGGGGCAGAGATATCCGCCCTACTCTCGCCGGGCCCCTGTGAGGCCGACGTCCGTCCTTCTGCGTCGATGGCCGCCATTCCCTTCCGAGGCGGACATTCCGCCCTACTCGTTTGTTCGCATCGATTGGGGTTCCATTCCGACGCACTTGTGAATCGGAAAAGCCGTCGAAATACGGCGGATCCGAAGTCAACGTTCCCCAAGGACCGCTTTTTCGTCCTGGGTCGTTTTTGACGGCCTCGAGGCCAAGCGATGACCCTTAGAGGCTCAAAACCGCCAAAAACCTGCCGCCGCGCTTTGTGTCAACGCGCGAGCATGTCTGTGGGGAAACCAACAGGTGCCGACACCGCTTCGCGCGGGGTACGTTCTGACCAGCATTTCGAAGCGGATCCAGCGGTGGCGACGAGGCCCTCCCAGGAGGCCCAAGAAGGGGAAGACGATGGAAGGGTAGCGGTATGTACCTTCTGCTCCTCCGAATGTCTGGGTACGCACCTGCCGCCCGAAAGGGATCCTTGCGCTCGCACAGCGGCTCGCCGCCCTTCCGCGCGAAGTGCGCCACGTACAGGGCGCAGGCGGCGAGCGGCACGAGCACTGAGCACGCGAGCGCGAGGGCCCGGTGGATCCACGGCGTCACGATGCTGTAGCAGATGGCCCTGGTCGCGAGGGGGGATAGAGGGGGAGGGAGGGAGGGAGTGAGGGGGGAAGAGGACGAGGGAGGCGTGGGAGGGACGAGGGAGGATGAGGGGAGAGAGAGGGAGGGGGGGCGAGGGAGAGGAGGGAAAGGAGTGACGGGAGGAAGGAGGAGAGGGAGGGAGAGAGGGGAGGGAAGGGAAGGCGGCGGAGGAGGAGGAGGAGCTCTGTGGACGAGCGCCCCGAAAGCCGACGTGCCCAGAGCCGAAAAGCGAGACGGAGCGGACTATGAGCTGCCCGGCGCCGGTGTGCGGTCCGAAGCTCTCCGAGGGCGCAGGGCGCGCACACTGCCCGGGGCCCTGGCCGCGGGTCGCGGGCGACGTCGCCGTGGCCTCGGCAGCGGCCCGGGAGGCGGGCAACACGCCAGCCGTAGGGGCCCATACGTTCCACTGCCTGCCTCATGAAGCGAAAGCTCTGGAAGCCAGATCGAGGCTTGATGGTCGAACAGGGCTAGAAAGCCCTGGGGCCCGGCCGCGGGTCTGGGCGCCCGACGTCGCCGTGGCCTCGGCAGCGGCCGGGAAGGCGGGCAGTACGCCAGCCGTAGGAGCCGGTATGTGCCACTGTCTACCAGCCTCGAACGTATCCCTATCCCTAAGATTGACACGCCAAAAGGCGGTGACAATCGTAGGGATGCGCCCTCAAAAATAAGGGAACCCCTAAGATTGGCATCGTGATGAGGAGATGCCCAGCATAGGGATATGGATATGTTCCAGGCTGCTAAACTGTCTGCCTCATGAGGCCAAAATTCTGGAAGCCAAATCGAGGCTTAATATGGTCGAGCAGGGCTAGAAAGCCCCGGGAAGAGAAGGAAGTAAGGAGCACAGCCAGAATTATGAGCAAGAAGGCTATCATCCAAGAAAAGTGGGCCACATTTCCAGGCAGTCTCTTCAAGCAAACCCAGGCACCGTTATGCTGACAATGCTGGAGGGGCGAACGTGCTCAAGAGACAGGGCCAGCTCTCTGGCAAGCTGGTCCAAGAAGAGCTGGCCCCGCTACTCGAGGGAAAGCTTGTGAAGCAGACGATCGACTGCAATGCGCTGCAAGCGCCTGCAGCTTTGGCTCCAGCCCCTCGGGGTGGTTGCGATGCCGCTCCGCGCCCACTGCCGGGTCGCCCCAGCACAGGCTTGCCGCCCCAGGCACTCCTGCTGAAACTCTGCCCGCGGTGCGTGCCCTCCTTGCCCCGCGCTGACCGAACGCGACGGGGTCGCCTCCTGCCGCCTCGCCGTCGTTACCTGTGCTACCCGGGAGCCTGCCGTGGGCCGTCCGCACTGGCCCAGCCAGCAGGAGTAGGGTCTTCAGCAGCAGCAGGTGCAACGTTGTCGGGAACGGCGTTCCCACCTTTCGCGGCGGCGGCCTTCTGGCGGGCCTTGATCTGGGCGGTCTCCTCGATGTACCTGGCCATCTGGTGGGGGTGTCGGAGAAGTCGACAGGGCCGCTGCCACCGCTGCTGCCCTCGCATCCTGCCTCGGCCGCCCTGGGACTGCCCTCGGCCTCTGGTGGCGGCGGGGCCCGCAGCGCCCTTGCCGTCTTCTCCGCGCCTTCGCTAGTGGCGCTGGACCTTGGCACGCAGCTCGCGGAGCGTGGCCGCCACCTCCTTGACCGAGCAGCCCTCCTTGCATGCCTCGAAAATACCCTTGGCCTGGGCGGCCTGTCCCGCCGCCTGTTGGTACTTGGCTCGGCGGGGCTCGTCGAGCAGCTCGAGGTCCTCCTCGTCAAGCTCGGGGAAGTCCACCCACGCTTCGGGCGCCGCGGGGGTGCTGGTGCCGTCGGCCACCGCGCCTTTGCCTCCACCAGCCTGCTGGACCTCGTGCTGCAGGAGGTCCAGCTCCTGCTTGGCCGCGAGGACCTCTCCGATGGTCTCGTTCAGCTCCTTGCGGCTCTGCTCGTTGCGCGTGAGCTGCCCTGCCGCCTTCTCCTGGTGTTGCTGGGCCTGGCGCCAGCGCAGGGCCGCGGCCTCCAGGCGCCCCCCGAGCTTGGGCTCGGGCGGTGGTGGCTCTGGCGGCGCAGGCGTGAGCACGGGGAGCTTGGCCAGCTGGGCGGCTGCCTCCGCCATGGCCCCGTCCCCAGCCTTGGCGGCCGTGACGACTGCCTGCCAGGCCTGCAGGTTGGCCTGGTCGAGGCCGAGCTTCGCGAGTGCCTGCTTTGCGGGCTCATCCTGCTTGCTGTCTTCGGCTGCCGTCTCTGGCCACTCGTATCCGCACGCGTGGCAGCCATCCCAGCCAGGCGTCCCCGCGCGCTTGGCCCACACCCAATTCTCCCCCACGCAGGCAGTTGGGGCACACGAGGCACTCCCCACGTCTGCGCTGGCTGGCGCATCGGGGCCTCTTGTTGCCGCGCCGGCCTCCCCCGCCTCCGCCTGGTTGCCGCCACGGCCACTGGGCTGCACCTCCGCCCCGCCCTTGGCCACCGCGACCTCCTCGCGCCATGGTCCAGCGAGGCCACGGCAGTGCTCCGCGCCGCTCTCCGCCGTCCTGCGATGCCTCCCGCAGCCGCCTCCTCGGGCGGCCCCCTCTCAAGCACGGGGCGTGGTCACGAGCAGCGCCGCTGCCCGAACCGCGCCGGCACGTGATCGCAGGCCGGCCCGCCCGAGCGCCCCAGCGCCCGCTGCAAGCCGGAATGCTTGAGGCGGAGGAGGGGGAGGAGAGGGAGGAGGAGGAGAGGGAGGACGAGGACGACATGGAGGAGGAGGAGGAGGAGGAGGAGGAGAGGGAGGAGGAGGAGGAGGAGGAGGAGGAGGAGGAGGAGGAGGAGGAGGAGGAAGGTGAAGTGGAAGAAGATGAAGAGGAACGAAACAAAAAGAAAGGAGGAATCAACAGATGAGGCGGAGAGGGAGGAGGAGCAGGAAACAGGATGAGGGGGGAGAGGAGAAGGAGGAGGAGAAGGAGGAGGAAGGGGGAGGAGGAAGAGGCTTCCATTGGTTTCTGGATGCCACCAGAAAACTACCCCAGAGGCCAGACGCCCCAAAAGAGACCAACGACACCAAAATACCTCAGACATCGATCCCGGGTCATGTCCCCCCACGTCGACCTGAAGGGTCGACACTCTCCAAAGGGAGTTCCACGGCCTGCCGAGCGGCCTTCACTAAAAGGGCCCAGGGCCACACCCTTCGCTTTTCTTGATCTTCGTCTTCCCCTCCACTTCCCACCTTTTGGCATAATTTCCCCGCAAGTGACAAGTACTTGTGTCTGTGCTGTTGTATTCCATCTTGATCGTGAGAAGACCAGGCCGCCCCATCTGCGCCATCCCCCAAAATGCGCGCCACCAGAATCCTCTCGCCGCCGCCGACGACGACGACTCCTGGGAGCCTACCCCCAGAGTGTCCGAGACCCTACTGGAGAACAGGCGACAAGACGCCCATAGCACTGGAACGCATTAAGGGAGGGCAGCGAACATCTTCAGCGACGACAGCGAGCGGCCTGGTCAGCGGGTGGGCTGCAAAGAAGAACGTCCACAGCCGGTCGCGGACGGCCGCGGCGGGGTTCCTCTGGGCGGGGCTCCTCCTCCTCCTCCACCTCCAACTCCTCCCTCGTCCTCCTCCTCTTCCTCCTCCAACTCCTCCCTCGTCCTCCCCCTCCTCCTCCTCCTCCTCCTCCTCCTCCTCCTCCTCCTCCTCCTCCTCCTCCTCCCTATCCCCATCCTCATCCTCATCCTCATCCTCATCCTCATCCCCTTCATCATCATCATCATCATCATCATCATCATCATCATCATCATCATCATCATCATCATCATCATCATCATCATCATCACCATCATCATCAGCAGCAGCAGCATCGCCATCATCATCATGATCATCATCATCATCATCATCATCATCATCATCATCATCATCATCATCATCATCATCATCATCATCATCAGCAGCATTTTCATCATCATCGTCATCATCATCATCAGCAACATCATCATCCAAATCCTCATCCGAATCCTCCTCCTCCACCGCGTCCTCACCCTCATCCCTCGTCCTCCGCGTCCTGCTCTTTCTCCTCCAGTTCCTCCTCCCACTGTCTTGTGATCCTCCTCCCCGACATCATCTCCCCCCTTTGTCATGCTCCTGCTCCTCCAACACCAACAACAACAGCAACTCCTCCTCTTCCTTCTCGCCTTCCTCCTCCTGCAACTCCTCCTGCTCTTCTTCCTCCTCCTCCTCCTCCTCCTCCTCCTCCTCCTCCTCCTCCTCCTGTCATCCTCTTCCTCATCCTCCTCCCTGCTCCTCCTTCTCATCGTCCTCCTTCTCCTCCTCTTCTTCCTCCTCCTCCTCCTCCCCCTCCTCCTCCCTGCTCCTCCTCCGGCAACTCCTCTAACTCCTCATCCTCCTCGTCCCCCTCTCCTCCTCCTCCTCGCTCCTCCTCCTCCTCTTCCTCCTCCTCCTCCTCCTCCTCCTCCTCCTCCTCCTGCAACTCCTCGAAATCCTCCTCCTCGCCCTACTCCTCCTCCTCTCAGTTTCTGCATCATCCACCCCAGCCTCCTCCTCCTCCTCCTCCTCCGCCTCCTCCTCCTTCTCCCCCTCATTTTGCGGATTTTCTCATCCTCATCATCCTCGATAGCTTCTCCTCTCGCTTGCCCTGCTTGGTTATCCGCATCCTTCTGCTTCTCTTTCTCCATCACCCCCCCCCCTCGTCTACCACGTCTCTCCCCCTCCCGTTCTCCCTCCTCTTCTTCCCGCTTAGAGGCGGTGCTCGAGATCACCCGGTCCTCAGGAAGACCTGCGTGGCCCTGTCGATTGAGTCGCCCATTCTCCTGTTCACTTCGCCCATAGAGCCGCACTCCGCCGCCTTAAGATGGTGGAGGGGGGAGATGGAGGAGGAAGCGGAGGAGGAGGGAGGAGGGGGAAGAAAACAATGAGGACGGAAGAACGAGGAGGAGGGAGAGGAGGAGGAGGAGGAGGAGGAGGAGGAGGAGGAGGAGGAGGAGGACGAGGAGGAGGAGGAGGAGGAGGAGGACGAGGATGGAAAGGGGAACGAGGTGGTCGGAGTTGGGGAGGAAAAGAGAAAGAAGAGTGCGGAAGATTGGAAACGAGCAAGAAAAAGAGTGGAAGGATGGGAAGGACGGGGGGAACGAGGATGAGTAGGAGGGGGAACAGAACGATGATGGCGGGGAGGAGAGGGGGGGACGAGGATTAGTGGTGGAGGGAGTGGAGGAGAAGGGTGAGGATGAGGAGGAGAAGGAGGAGGTGGAGGAGGAGGAGGACGAGAAGCAGGAGGACCATGGAAGGGAGTAGCGAGCCAAAGATCGCTCATCCAGCCCTATGCAATAAGGCATAACACCTGGGAAAGATCCGAATACTGCAAAGCCGAAGCTACGCATGGCCTTTCGAGATTATCCCATGTCGCAATGCTTCATGTCATGTGCTCCCGATTGACGACATTGATGGCGCCGTGCCATATGTGGGCAACATCCCCTGGCGGGTTGCCGCAACCGCAATACTTGATGATGAATGCAATTATGTCGCCTTCCCAGCGCTTCCACTTGCCCCCACCATTGTGCTTACGAAGTATGTTGATGTGAGGATCAGCCGTCGCTGCAAAGCATGTCAGCACATCCTGCCTGACATCCTCCTCCCGCTTCGCATATTCCACCTCCTCCTCCTCCCCCTCCTCCTCTCCTCCTCCTCCTCTCCTCCTCCTCCTCATCTAACTCCTCCTCATCCTCCTCTTCATAATCGCTGCACTCCCTTTCCACACCCGCAGCGCACCCCAAACCACGCAGGAGGAGAAATGCAACGGCGACGACGACGACGAGAAATACTACGAGAGGGCGGTAAGAAGGCACAGAGGGAAGGAGGGAAGGAGGAGGAGAAGGAGGAGGAGACGAAGGAGGGAGGGAGGAAGGAGGATAAGTGCGAAACAGGGAGGGGGGAGGAGGAAGAGGGAGAAGGGAGGAAAGACAGGAGAAGGGTTGAGGAAGAGGAGGAGGAGGAGGAGACAGAGGAAGGAGGAGGAAGAGGGAGGAGGACGACGACGCCGACTGTACGATGGAGGGAAGCGCCTCTGGGAGTCGTCTACGCGGGCGACTCCCCCTCTGCTGCTTCGCATTCTCGCCAATCATGGAGGTCGCACTGGCGATCCTGAAGTGCCAGACCTTCGCCTCGAGACGCCCACGGGGAAGGGGGGAGGAGGGGTAAGCGCGGCAGGGAAGGGATGGAGTGGCAGCATATCGTCCTCCGTCTCCTCATCCTCCTCATCCTCCTCATCCTCCTCATCATCCTTCACCCAACCACCACCACTTCTCATCCCCCGCCTCCCAGACCGAGGGGGGAGGGAGAGGAGGACGGAAAACGTGGGGCAGAAGGGAGAGAGGCGGCGAAACCACTGCCGCTGCCGTCGCCGTCGTTCCCCTCCTCCTCCCTCTCCCTCTCCTCCCCTCCTCGCCTCCTCCTCCTCCTCCTCCTCCTCCTCCTCCCTGCTCTCCTCCTACCTCCTCCTCCTCCCCCTCCTCCTCCTCCTCCTCCTCTCCTGTTCCTCCTCCTCGTCCTTCTCCTCCTCCTTCTCCGACGACGACGACGCTCCTCCTCCTCCTCCTCCTCCTCCTCCTCCTCCTCCTCCTCCTCCTCCTCCTGTCCCTCCTCCTCGTCCTTCTCCTCGTCCTTCTCCGACGACGACGCCGCCGACGAGGACGACGACGACGACGACGACGACGACGACGACGACGACGACGACGACGACGACGACGACGACGACGGCGACGGTGGCGACGGCGGCGGCGCGGCAGGGCGGCGACGGTGGCGGCGATGAAGGCCTGCGACAGGCCGATGTCCGTCTGGCAGGACAGCAGCAGGCACCTCGCGTGCACCATCTGGCGGATGGCCGCGCCAAGAGGCCGGCCGTCCAGCTCGTCGGGGCTGGCCTCCACTCCTGGGCGCGGGGAGGGTGGGGGGCTGACGGCCGCAGGGAGCACGGGGGGAGGGGGGGAGGGGGGCAGGGGGGGGAGGAGGCCGACGAGGAGGGGGAGGCAGGACGATCAGGGGTGAGCATGGGGATGGGCAGGAAGAGGGGGAGCTCAGCATGAGTAAGTCTGAGTAGGAGTAGGTCTGAGTATGAGTAGGTCTGAGTATGAGTAATTCTGCGTCCGAGTAAGTCTGGGCATGAGTACATCTGAGTGTGAGTAAGTCTGTGTATGAGTAAATCTGGGTATAGGGAGGAGAAGAAGGAGGAGAAGGAGAAGTAGGAGAAGCAGGAGGCGTCCAAGTAACAACCATAACCCCATCTTAGGATATGGGGAAAAAAACATTACGTCGGGGGTCTCGGCAGGAGGCCCAGAGAGGCGACGCAGGGAAGGAGCAGCGGCATCGGCACCTCTTCCTCCCCCGAGCTTCTGGCCGCCGGCGTCCTAGCGCGTTCGCGGCCAGCCACAGGAGCAGCCCGTCCAGGGAGCAGCCGTTCACCTCGAAGATGCTGTTGTTCACCATGTTGCTCTCGGCCCGAGCCGCCTCGCAGCTGCCAGCTGACTCCTGCGGGGGATGCCCGCGCCCGGCCCCAGAGACCTTCTCGCGGCGAGGGGGGAGGGGGAGGGGGAGGGGGGAGAAGGAGGGGGGAGGAGGAGGAGGAGGAGGAGGAGGAGGAGGAGGAGGAGGAGGAGGAGGAGGAGGAGGACCCTCCGCACATAGCCACCACCACGAGCGGCGAGCAGGTGCCCATTAACCTATGTCCTCGCGGCCTGGGCCCCCGGGCGTGGCCTCCCGTGGATGCGCGGCATCGCATGGCTGCGCTCGGCGCAGGGCCTCCGCGGGGGAGCACCCCAGCTCGTGTGGCCGTGGCATGGGCACTGGATACAGTTAAGTCGGGCCTGTCCCCCCACAGATGGGATTTTCGACGAAAAACAAAAAATACCCCCAAAATAATAATAATAATAAAAAATCCCAAAATAGTCTGGGGACTATTTTTTTGAGTATTTGTTTGCCTTGTTGGTGTATTTTGTGAATATTTGTTGTTTTTCGTCGAAAGCCCTCCTGTAGGGGGACACGCCCGACATAGGGAGTCAGGCCCAGACCCCCGACGGACAGATTTTTTCATTACGTCGACCCCCAGAGGTCCCGACCCTTTCCCCATGACCGGCTCTGCATCCCGAGTCGTTGTTTGACGCTCCCGAGGCCCGGTGAGGGCCCCCAGAGGCCGAAAATTACGAAGCACCTCCCGTCATGATTCTTTCATTGCTCGAAGGGGGTCTGGGTCAACAGGTCCCCCGAAGAGCCCCAGCTGGCCTCAACAGGCCCCCCCCGAGCAGTCCGGGGCGGTCCCAAAACACCATGGCACCGCCTCCGGCGGCGCTGCCGGGGCGCTCCAGGGCTTTAGGGTGGAGGTGTTGAGACCGCCCAGGAACTATGATAATCGCCCAGGAACTACTTGGAGGAGGGAAGGAGGTGGAGGATGAGGAGGAGGAGAAGGAGGAGGAGGACGAGGAGGAAGAGGTGGAGGATGAGGAGGAGGAGGAGGAGGAAGAGGAGGAGGACCCCATCCCCCTCCTACTTATGGTGGTGGTGGTGGTGGAAGATGGGCCCATCAAACTACTCGATAGGACCCGTTGAGGCCAGCTGGGTCTCTTCGAGGGGCCTGTCGAAGGCCAGCCGTCGAAAGGAGCGGTTGAGTCCAGCCAGGCTCAAGTCGGGCCTGTCCCCCTACAGGGGGATTTTCGACGAAAAATAAAAAATACCCCAAAAACAATCCAAAAACTGTCCAAACATAGCCTGGGGACTATTTTTAGTGTATGTGTTGACCTTTTGGGGGCATTTCTGCTTTAATTTTTCGTCGAAAATCCCACTGAAGGGGGACACGCCCGACATAAAGCCAGGCCTGTGCGCAGCCCGAGGCCTTCAGGAATTACCATGCATGCACCAGGCCACAACCGACCTTCCCCCCATTCGTCTCGCCGCCCTCCCCCCCTCTCGGGCGCAGCCAGGCCGACCCCTCGCAAACCATGCCCTCTTCCGTGACGCCATCCGCGCCTTCCAAGCCTCCACCCGGCCGCATACCTTCGGCGGCGACCCCAGGAGAGGGAAGTGAGGAGGGGCGGGCTGTCTCGAAAGGCTCGGAAGTCCCCCGGCCTTCCGAGAGAGTTCCTAAGCCTCACCCGAAGACACAGAAGCCTGCTCAGAAGGCACGAGGGCCTCTTGAGAAGTCCCGCCGCCTTCTGAGAAGGCCCCCTCCTTCTCTCACTCCCCCCCTCGCTCGCCGCCGATGCATACGTCTTGGGGCGAGGCGAGGGGGACGTCACGGAGGAGGATGGTGTGCTGGCAGAGGGCACAAATCCACCTCCAGAACAACCACCTCGACAAGCAAGGCCCTAAGGCCGCTCAGTAAACGCACCCAGAGAAGGAATCGGACAGGGCAAGGCCGTTTAGCAAACGCCCGAGGCCGTTTAGCGAACGCCAATCCCAGACCCCCGACGGACAGATTTTTTCATTACGTCGACCCCCAAAAGTCCCGACCCATTCCCCATGACCAGCTTTGCATCCTGAATCGTTTTTTACGCTCCCAAGGCCCGTCGAGGGCCCCCAGAGGCCGAAAATCAAGAATAACCTCCCGTCATGATTTTTTCTTTACTCGAGGGGGTCTGGGATCATCGGGGTCTGGGTGGTTTCTCTTCCCTGGAGCTGGGGATCGGCGAGGCCGCCCCGGACCCGCGGCTGCCACCACAAGGCTTCAGTCGGGCCTGGGCCCCTACAGAAGGGCTTTGGGCGAAAAATTGAAGATACCCCCAACAGATACCCCCCGAATGCTCAAAAATAGTCAAAACTAGCCCCCAGACACTATAAACAAACACACACATATATATATATATATATGTATATATATATATATATATATATATATATGTATGTATGTATATATATATATGTATATATTCCTAAGGACATGCCCGACTTAACACGAAGCGCCGGCTCCACGCCTCGCGCCCGCGAGAGAGCCGCCAGGGGCCGCCCCCGAGGCTCCGCGCGCCGCACCCTCGCCGCTCGCCTGTTATAGGCGGCACCCCCGACGGGGGCCGCCGCGGCCGGGGCACCCCGAGGGGGCCCCGCCTCGGCGCCGGCGGCGTCTCCTCGATGTCTTCTCTCCTCCTCCTCCTCCTCCTCCTCCTCCTAGTGCTCCTCCTCCTCCTCCTCCTCCTCCTCCTCCTCCTCCTCCTCCTGCGGATACCCGGGGATGCAACGCACTGAACAAAAGCAAGGCCGAGGTTTTTCGCAAGTGGCGGCCGCTGGGGGCCCTCGCCCGGCATCGGGACCGTCAACAAAACGACTCAGGATGAAGAACCGGTCCTGGGGAATGGGTCGAGACTGGGGAATGGGTCGAGACTCTCGGGGACTGGGTCGAGACTCTCGGGGAATGGGGAATAGGTCGAGACTTCCAGGGACCGCGCATTGCACAAAATCACGACATCGGATCTCTGGGCATCTGGAGTGGGGCGGGACGCGTGCGGACATGCCGGCACCCTGTGCTCCTGCTGGAGGCCCAAGGCCCCTTCACGTCGTGAGACAATCACGACGGGAAGTCTAGCTATATTTTCGGCCTGTACGGGGGCCCTTCCCTGGCCGCGGGACCGTCAGAAAACGGCTCGGGATGAAAAACCGGCCCTGGGGAAGGGGTCCAAACCTCTGAGGGTCGACGCTGCGAACAAAAACACACGACGCCGGGAGTCTGGAGACGCACGCCCGACCCGCGCATGCAGCAGAGCACGTTGCGGTGCACCGCTTCCCGAGCGGAGCGCCGAGCAGAGTTCATGCTGCAGGATCTCCGAGCGCGCGCGTCGCCCTGGCGAGGCCAGCGCGCAAATCGCATGAACATGCTTGGGCGGTGCCCGCGGTGCGCCCGCGCCCGCGGCAGCCGCGCTCCCGGCTCGCAGCGGCGCTCCCGCCCTTCGCGCCCGCCGCGCTGCCAGCTCGGAATCCCCTCGGCTCGGCGGCCACGGCCCCGGGGACGGCCTCGGGCCGGCCCCGGGCTCCACCTCAGCGCCGGCCACGCCCGAGCTGGAAGCGCCTCGCAGCCCTCGGAGACCTCCCGCGCCTCGGCGACGTCCAGCGCCTCGCCGCCCCGAGAGGGCGCCGAGGCCGCCGAGCGGGGCGCGGCGCCCGCTGCAGGCCACCACGAGCGCGCCGCTGCGGCGTGCCCGAGCCTGCGCCAGCCGCGCTCCCAGCGCGCCTAGGCGCCACTGCCCTGGGCGCCAGCCTCGCCTCCAGCTCGGGCGGCGCCTCGGAATGGGGCCCCCAAGGCGGCCCTCCAGGCGGCCTCAGGGCGGCCCATGTCCCCGCCGAGACGGCCCGCCGAGACGGCCACGCGGCGGCCCGAGGCGGGCCCCAGACGGACCTCCTCCTCCTCCTCCTCCTCCTCCTCCTCCTCCTCCTCCTCCTCCTCCTCCTCCTCCGCCCAAAACGGGCTCAAGACAGCCCTGGACACCCCCCGTGGCGGCCCCCAAGGCGCCCCTCGCAGAAGAGGTCGCTCTGCCGGGGGGCGAACAGGCCGCCCCAGTGGCCTCTCGACAGGCTCGCAGAGGGAGCCCCCTGGGCACCGAGGAGGCCAACCCGAGAGGCACCGCGACTGCCCTGCGGCGGCTCGGCCGCGCCGCGCCGCAGGGGTCGCTGCGCACCTGGCCCCGTCAAACGAAAACGTAACGGGCACGCGCGGCAGCGCAGTGGTACAGCAACGGACTGTGAGACGTTGTTAGGTCGTCTGTGGCATGTCAAACAGGCTGGAGATGCGCAGATGGCTCCGCCAGTGCCACGGAACGTGGCGGGAGCGAGGATAATCGCGGACATTCGTGTGTGCGAGAGAGAGAGAGAGAGAGTGTGTGCATGTGTAGCTATGTAAGTGTGAAAGCGTGTACGTATGTAAGTGTGTAAGTGTGTGAGTGTGTGAGTATGTAAGTGTGTACGCGTGTAGATGTGTAAGAGCGAAAGTGTGTAAGTGTCTAAGTGTGTAAGTGTGCAAGTGCGTGAGTGTATCAGGGTGTGCGTGTGCAAGTGTGTAAGTGTGTGTGTAAGTGTGTAAGCGCGTAAGTGTATAACTGTGTAAGTAGATGAGTGCTTGTAAGTGTGTAAGCGTGACAGGGTGCAAGTATGTAAGTGTGTAAGTGTGTGAATGTTTAGGTGAGTAAGTGTGAGAGTATGTAAGTGTATAATTGTGTATGTGTGTAAATGTGTAAGGGTGTGAATGTGTCTAAGTGTGTAAGCGTGTGTGGGTGAGAGTGCGTATGTATTTGTGCTCACCCCCCCTCGGTCGGCGCTCTCTTCAATTATGAGGCTGCGAAAGCGTTGCGCCATCCAGATTTCAACATACCAATGCGCCTGTCATATTACAAGACTGGGGCAACTGCGCAACCCATCCGAGACCGTGCCATCGGCACGCTGGGCGAATCAGAGTGCCTGCTCGCTGCCAGGTAGGATGCTCCAAGACCAGCCCAAGACGGCGCACGCACAGGCCGCCGTCAAAGGCACCTAGACGTCCCCAAGAAGACCGAAGAGACCCGAAAAGACTCCAAAGCAGTCAACGAGGCCCAAAGAGGTCTAACACTCTTAACGATATTTTAAAATTTCGATGTTTATTCGCTGCTGAGGTCTTTCGGCTTCAGATGGCTCCGAGAAAACATCGGAGGTCCCCGAGAAGATCCCAGGATGGCCCCTGGAAGACCCCAAGACGGCTCGAGAATCACCCTCTCCCACCTCCCTGGGACAACTATCATCGCGCTTCGCGCTCCGCTGTCGCGCCGACCCCCCGCGGAACAGGACGAGGGACTCGCGCATCGCTCTGAAATCGCCCAGGCCGCGAAGCGAGAAGCGCGATTAACTTCGCACCCTCGTGGTGGCCCTGGCCTCCCCATTCCCCATCTTCATTCTCTCCTCCCAGTCCTCTCCCTCCTCCCCCTCCGCCTCTTGCCCCTCCTCCTCTCCCCCCTGCCCCCGCTCCCGAAGTACTCCCAGAATCGCTTGTAGGAATGCCCTGGGACCTCATATCATCAGAAACCTAAGTGGTGGCTGCGCATGGGTCCCCAAAGTGCTAACCTATGTAGACACGATGTGTGCAACTTGTGATAAGCAATATGCGCGGCCCTTGCTGGTTGACGGCGGGAGCGAAATCCGATAGAGCCCAGACTGGATCGATCTGTGAGGGTCGCAGGACTGAGGTCACGGAGCCCGAGATACACGTCGGGGTCTTTCCAAGACAACGGGACGCAAGACGAAGGCAGGACGGAGGAAGCGCTGGGTACACGTGCCCCTGGACCTCTGAGGCGAAGAGGGTCTGGAGAGGACGTGTCGGGAACCGCGGCCGCTCCAGTTGGACGCCCGAAATGGGCATGGACAATAAAATACGACAGTGGCCACTGTTGGACAGGCGGCCTCCCGTCTCAAATGGACAATGCCAGCGGCGGCACGGAAAACGAAACCTGTTCAGAACGCACAGAACATGTTGTCGGTCCTCGTGCCCATCCCTTCCGTCCCCATTTCGATGGTCCCGACTCCAGGAGCGCTCTGGAGCGCTCTGGAGCGACTCATTCGTGTGCTGGGCCTGCAAGGAGGCGTCCCCCCCCTCCCCCGATGGGGGGGGGGGGCTTGGCTCCTCGACGTTGAAGCTGCGGTGCAGTTCGGCGCCGCGCTGCTGCCTTGGGAGGCCGCCGCTACCTTGCAACTCCTCTCCCTCATCCTGCTCCTCCTCCACCACCTCCTCCTCCGCTCCTCCTCCTGCTCCTCCTGCTCCTGCTCCTGCTCCTCCTCCTCCTCCTCCTCCTCCTCCTCCTCCTCCTCCTCCTCCTCCTCTTCCTCCTCTACCTCCTCCTCCTCCACCTCTACCTCCTCCTCCTCCACATCTACCTCCTCCTCCTCTTCCTCCTCCTCCTCATCCGCCTCCTCCTCCTCCTCCTCCTCCTCCTCCTCCTCCTCCTCCTCCTCCTCCTCCTCCTCATCCCCAGAGGGGGGCCCGCTCCCATGCCTCCTCCAGGAGAGGACCACCAGCCCGATCTGGATGAGCAGCACGAGCCACATCAGGAGCCCCGCGGGTTTGTACCACCAGGTCCCGTGCCCCAGGGCCTTCAACGCGGACGGGGGCGCGCGGGATGGAGGAATGGAGGGTTGTTGTTGATGATGCTTATGATGTTGATGATGATGATGATGATGATGATGATGATGATGATGATGATGATGGTGGTGATGATGATGATGATGATGATGCTGATGATGATATGATGATGATGATGATGATGATGGGAGGAGGAGGAGGAGGAGGATGTTGATGATGGTGATGCTGATGATAAGGAGGAGGAGGATGCTGATGATGATGATGTTGCTGATGATGGTGGTCATGATGATGATACTGAGATTGATGATGATGCTGATTATGATGCTGCTGCTGATGATGCTGGTGGTGATGCTGATGCTGATGATGATGAGGGGGAGGAGGAGGAGGAGAAAGAGGACGAGAGGAGGAGGAGGAGGACGAAGAGGAGGAGGAGGAGAGGAGGAGGAGGAGGAGGAGGAGGAGGAGGAGGAGGAGTGAGGAGGAGGAGGGGGAGGAGGAGGAGGAGGAGGAGGAGGAGGAGGAGGAGGAGGAGGAGGAGGAGGAGGGGTGTCCTCGGAGTTCCCTGACACCCGCAGTCTTGCCGGGGCCTACCCGAGACAACGACCGAGGAACGCCGCGGATCGACGGAGGGACAGCGCGGGGCCTCCCCGCGCCTCCCCCCCCGGGCCCTCGTCGCTGGCCGCGGCCGCCACCGAGGCCCGCCCGACTCGGGTGCAGGCAGGCCCCGCTGGATCCGCGCGGGGTGCTCGCGGCCCCTCCTGCGAGGCGGGGATTGATGCACAGCCACCGCCCGGGAACCAGCGCCCCGGGCGGCGGATACGGATCCATTCTGCCCTCCGGGGGCTCGAATCTTTCCATATCCACCGCCTGTGGAGGTCCGCGCAGATCGATCCCACAGGCGGTGGTTGTGGATGAATCCCCGCCTCGGACTTCCGAGCCTCTCTCACGCGAGCCCCTACAAGGCTGCAGGGCTTGACGGCTGCGGTGTGCCCGCAGGGGGAGCGAGCAAAAAACAAGCGATGGCGGGGCCCCAGCCGCAAAGACAGGGATTCGTGCGTCTTCTTCCCCCCGCACCCACGCATCCCCAGGAGGAGGAGGAGGAGGAGGAGGAGGAGGAGGAGGAGGAGGAGGAGGAGGAGGCGGGGAGGAGGAGGGAGGAGGAGGAGGAGGAGGATGGGGAGGTCGGGGAGGAGGAGGAGGAGGAGGAAGGAGGGGAGGAGGAGGAGGAGGAGGAGGGGAGGGGAGGGAGGGAAGGAGGGAAATACGGAGGGAAATGCGGAGGGAAAGATGGAGGGGAAGACGGAAGGAAGGAGGGAGGGAGGGAGGGAGGAGGAGGAAAATGAGGAGGAGGAGGAGGAGGAGGCCCCAGGCGATGACACGCGATTCCGAGCTGACGGAGCCTTGCCAGCAGCAAGAAAAGGTGAATCCGCCTCACTCCATGGGGGGGAGGAGAACGGAGGGCGACAGCCCTAAGAATGCGCAGCATGCCCGACGTCCCAGTCGACGAAGATGCGCTCGAGCCTCACGCATGAGGCACCGACGGCGAGCACGACCACGAGGGGGCACACGAGCAAGTCGCCGCCCAGGGTGGGCCAAGGCACCCGCCAGGCCCGCGACGGCGCCCTCCAGCATCACTGTGTGCCGCCGCCGGCGGCCCAGAGGATGATGGAAGAGGTGCGGACGCTGTCGCACGCCGCCGTCGCCACCACGAGCTCCGCCTTCGACCGAGGCGAGAGCATCGGGCCACCCTGCGCGCCAGCAGCTGGACCACCGACCTCCGCGGACGGCGGGGCGAAGCCCGCACCATCTGCGCCAGACGCAGCCAGCGCCAGCCCACCGCGGTCTGCAGGCCGACCCTGCCCCCGCCTCTGCGGCGGCAGCGCGCCAGCCCACGAAGCGCCGCCGATGCCGAGGTCGCGCGCGGCGTTGGCGGGTGCCTCGGTCGCTGGGCCGTCGAGCGCCATGGGCGCGCCAGCCGTCTCCGCAGCCTCATCCACTGTCGCCGCCCCTCCACGCTCCAGCGCGCACCGCCCAGCCAGCCGCAGGCGGCGCCGACTGCGCCGCGCCCCAGACAGCCGGCCGCTCCAATCTTGTCGATGCGTGGGCCCCCGAGGTCCGGACCATTATTCCCTGGGGCCTGTGTTCCGTCCCGAGCCGTGCCCTGACGGCCCCGAGGCCGGGCGAGGGCCCCCCGGAGGCCGGAAACGGCGGCCCACACCCACTACTCCAAGTTTTGTGTTGCTGGAGCATCGGATCTCTGGGGCGCGAGCAGGAGCCGCAGGATCGTCGGGCTGCGCCCGACGGCAGCCGCGGCAGGCTGCCGAGCTGCGCCTGCCCCGCCGCGAAAGCTGCGACGGCGACAAGCACGGCCGAGCGCGCCAGACCGCGGCCAACGTGGGGCACGGCGCGCGCCACCGTCCCCGGCCGCGCGGGCCGCCGCCTCGACGAGGCGCGCGACATCGGCTGCGGCCGCGGCCGTGGGGCCCCCCCCCCTCAGGGCAGGAGGCGGATCACCAGGGCCAAGATGCGAGGGGCTCCAGGCTGTGCAGGACACCCTGTCCCCATCCTCCTCCTCCTACTCCTCCTCCTCCTCTTTCTCCTCCTCCTCCTCCTCTTCCTCCTCCTCCTTCTCCTCCTCCTCCTCTACCTCCTCCTCTTCCCTCCTCATCCTCCTCCTTCCTCCTCCTCCCCCCCTCCTCCTCCTCCTCCTCCTCTTCCTTCCTCTCCTCCTCCTCCTGCTACTCCCTCCTGCTCCTCCTCCTCCTCCTCCTCCTCCTCCTCCTCCTCCTCCCCTCTCCTCCTCCTCCGTCTCCCTCCTCCTCCTCCCGTCCTCCTCCTCCCTCCTGCTCCTGCTCCCTCCTCCTCTTCCTCCTCCTCCTCCCTCCTCCTCCTCCTCCTCCTCCTCCTCCTCCTCCTCCTCCTCCTCCTCTTCCCCCTCCACAAACACACAATATGAATACTACTCTCCTCTCTCCTTTGATGACGTCCAGTAGATGTTCGCCCCGCGTATTGTTTATTACACCGGATTCCCTGGAATTGGGTTCTCGCTGGGGTGTTGTGTTTAAAATCGTGCTCCCGCTGCAACGCTGTCCTCATTTCCGCGTTTCCGATCGTTCCGAATCGTGCTCCCGCTGCAGCGCTGGCTTCATTTCCGCGCTTCAGCTCGTCCCGAATCGTGCTTCCGCTGCAGCGCTGGAGTCATTATTTCCAGTGCCATGCCACGGCATGCAATGCAATGTTATGTGGTGCTCCGCTTTGCGATGTCACGCCATCAGCTGCAATGCTAGGATATACAGTCTTTGACTACACAGTGCCACGCCATGCCATGCCAAGCTACGCTTTGATCTTCAGCGCCATGCTATGCCATGTTATGTTTTTTGACCTTGTGCTATGCCATTAGTTGCGTTGCAATGCTTTGTGAAGCAATTCTGCACTACGCAACGCCACGCCATGCTATAACATACTACGCCCTGCTGTGCTATTATACGCCCTGCTATGCCGTGCTCTACGATGCATCGCACACCCTCTCGGGATCATTGCCCTGCTCGACATCCGACTTTGCGAGTAGAGAGGAGCTCTACCCCATGGCAACGGATGGGAGGGAGGTGCAGGACGTCAGATATGACGCGAGCGCACCTAGCTAGTCCTTTTCCTCCTCCTCCACCTCCCTCCTCCCTCCTCCTCCTCCTCGTCCTCCTCCTCCGCCTCCTCCCTCCTCCCTCCTCCCTCCTCCCTCCTCCCTCCCAGTAGTCGTGCCAGCCCCGTGCATTTCCGTCCAATCTGGGGGTATGTGGGGACAGGACGGGGGCGGGGAGATTCACCAAACCTTGGCGCCCGTGCTGCTAGATGCCGCGCGTTTCTGCCAGCAGCTAGTGGGTGCCGCACCAAGCTGACCGTCTCCTCGGCGAATCAGAGCGCCGTCCAAAATCCTCCTCCCTCTGTCCTCCTCCTCCTCCTCCTCTTCTCCTCCTCCTCCTTCCCCTCCACCCCCTCCACCCTCTCCTCCTCCTCCTCCTCCTCCTCCTCCTTCTCCTCCTCCTCCTCCTCCTCCTCCTCCTCCTCCTCCTCCTCCTCCTCCTCCTCCTCCTCCTCCTCCTCCTCCTCCTCCTCCTCCTCCTCCCCCTCCTCAACTGCAGCTTGCGCGCGGGGGGGCCGTCGCGGGACGGTCAGGCGCAGGCGCGCGAACGCTTTGAGCCGGCATGGCTGGAACCAGAACGGCTGCGGACGGGCAGGGGGGGAGGACGAGGGGGAGAGAGGGGGAGAGGGAGGAAGAGGAAGAGGGAGGGAGGGAGGATGGGACGGCGGAGAAGGGTCGGGGGGGAGGGATAGGGAGGGAGGGGGAATGAGGGGACATGGCGGAGGAAGGGAGACGCTCTTTCTGAGAAAGGGCAAAGGGGAGGGAGGATGAGACAGGAGGAGCGAGGAAGGAGGAACGAGGAAGGAAGTACGGGGCAGACTGCTTGGCAGGACCGTTTCGAATGAAGGAGGTGAATGAGGAAGAGGAGGAGGAGGAGGCGAAGGGAGAGGAGGAGAGAAAGGAGGAGGAGGAGGAGGAGGAGGAGGAGGAGGGAGCGGGAGGGAGATAGGGAGCGAGGAAGGAGAAGGAGGAAGAGAAGGAGGAGGAGGAGGAGGAGCGGCCTTCAAAGCGTCGGTGTTGATGATGTCCGCGTCGGGGCAAACCAACTGCCGGGGCGCGCAGGGACGTTCGCCAACGCTGTGCAACACGCGTCTGTGCAAGGCCTTTGCCCTTCGGGCGGTCACGCGGGCGGACCCGACAGCCCTGGCGACAAATGCCTTCTCCTCCTCCCTCAACTCCTCCTCCTCCTCCTCCGCCTTTCTCCTCCTCCGCCTTTCTCCTCCTCCTCCTCCTCCTCCTCCTCCTCTTCCTGCTCTTCCTCCGCCTCCTCCTCTTCCTCCTTGTCCTCCTCCGCTTGCCCCCCGCTCTGCCCTCCATACGTTGTCACTCCTCATCCAGGACGCCTCATCCAACTCCAACACCATCACCACCACCGCAACCACCGCCACAACTACAGCCAATCCCACCACCATACGAACCGCAATCATCACCAGAACCACCACCACCGTCATCATTACCACCACACTACCATCATCAGACTCATCAGCACCATCCTCATCCTCATCATCATCATCAACATCGTCGCCACCACCACCATCGTCATGTTAATCGCCATCACCAGAAACAACACCATCAGTATCACCACATTCCGCATCGTCATCTTCGACATAATCGTCACCGTCAAGCCAACGACCACCATAGCATCGTGAGATTCATCGCCACCACCATCATAACCACCACCATCATCGTCGTCATCATCACCACCATCGTCATCGTCACCGTCGCCAGCGTCACCACCATCGTCAGAAGCAACATTGCAATATGCATCATCCTCACCATCAGGTTCGCAATCAACACCGTCAGAAACATGATCCTCGTTGCCACCAACACCAGACACCACGAAGCATGACCATCACCCTCCACCGCCAAAAACATTACCACCAGCTGGGCCACAACAGCCACCACCGTCAACATCGTCACCACGGTCGGAACCATTATTATCATCATCGTCATAACCATCGACATCGTCGGTCGTCACGGTCAACCGTCACCACCGTCGACATCGTAATCCCCATGACCACCACCATCGTCATCGTCACAACCATCGCCTTCGTCAATCCATATTCCCTCGCCCATGCTCCCCATCCGTACCCTCCACCCCCATTGATCCTCCTCTGTCTCCTCTCAGCCTGTCGTGCACGGGAGTGGAATACCCCAGCCAGGCGTCAGCAGCCCCGATCCCTCCTCGTCAGCTTGCAAAACACATGTGTCTGGACCGTGGGGGAGGGAGTCGTGAGAGCGTCGAAGATGGCACCAGATGGCTCCCAAACGGCACCAAATAGCCCAAGGCGTCCTCCAACACGGCTGCCATAGCACACAAGTTTGCCCAAATGCCCTCCAGCACGGCTTCAAAAGGCCCCGCGCGGCCGACCAAAGAGATTCCCAAAATATCTCCGAGAGGCTCCATCCAGGGCTCCCCGGGGCCGAAAATAGTGAAAAACCGCCCGTCCTGATTTTCTCACGACGCGATCTTGTCTGGGTACCCAGACCCCCGACGTAATGACATTGTCGTTACGTCGACCCCCAGAGGTCCCGACAACTTCCCCAGGACCGGCTTCGCATCCTGAGTGGTTTTTTGACGCTCCCGAGGCCCTGCGAGGGCCCCCAGAGGCTGAACAAGGCGAAAAACCTCCCGTCATGATTTTTTCACTACTCGAGGGCGTCTGGCTTTGTGGGCCCCGGAAACGGCAGGGCCGTTTTTTCATCGTTTCCAAAAAAATGTCTCCTGGAAATGGAAACGGCAAAAAAACGGCGACCGGAAACGGCAAAAAAACGGCTCCAGGATTCGGAACCGGAGCCGGAACCGGTCAAAAAACAGCGACGGAACCGGTAAAAAAACGGCGTCGGAACCGGCAAAAAAACGGCAAAACGGAGCCGGTACAAAAAACGGCCCTGTCGTTTCCAGGGCCCACTAAGGGGACGCGGGGTGGCCAAACCTGGGCGCCCCATCCGCTGCTGCCGCTTCGCATGCAGCGAGCGGGGGACCCCATTGGGCCCGCGCCGAAGGTCACGCCAGTTCGCGCCCATGTCCGGGGCCAGAGACGCGCAGTTCGCTCCGGCGGAGAGGCCGGGCAGGCCGCGGCCACCGGCGAGAGGCTGGCGAGAGGCCGGGCCGGGCCCGCGCGGCTGGCCCGGCGCCGCCGCGGGCGCCGGCGCCCCGGAGGGCGCGAGCGCGCGGCGCCCTCTCGGAGGGCGCGGAAGCCGGGCGAGGAGGACGGCAGCGGGTCGGGAGGGCCCTCGCCGGTCCACGGGGCCGTCCAAGCACGAAACACTCAGAATGAAGAAATCAGGACGGAAGGTTTTTCGTCATTGTCGGCCTCCGGGGGCCCTCGCCGGGCCTCGAGAGAGCGCCAAAAGAACCACTCGGGATGCAACGCCGGTCCCGGGGAGATCGTCGGGGCCTCTGGGTGTCGACGCAACGGAAACATTAGCCTGGCGAGGGACCCAGCCATATGCAGTTGTGAGTACCGCAGTTGTGAATATAGTCCTCCGTGGAGCTCCTGAAGGGGCCACGAATTGTGTGAGGGGCCTGCCACAGTGGGGGTCGACGCAACGAACAATTCATGGCGTCGGGGGTCCGGGATCGGCGGTGCAGCCTGGCCTCCGACCTCTCGAGGAGCTCGGCACCGCAAGGTCCTCTAGACTTTCGGCGTCCGGGGGCCCCTCGCCGGCCGGTCCACGGGGCCCTCCAAGCACGACTCGGGGGAGCGTGAATTACCTCCCCCGCTGTCGCTTCCAGGCAAAACCGAGCCATACCACGCGCCTCCTCGTCAAGCGGCCTGACCAGTACAGGCCGCAATTTGGCAGCGTCTGGTATCTCACGCGCCTCCTCGTCAAGCGGCCTGACCAGTACAGGCCGCAATTTGGCAGCGTCTGGTATCTCTTGGAAGCGAGGGTGGTCAAAAGCGAGGGAGGTTTGTTTTCCCCCGACGCATGGGGAAAGTCACGACGTCGGAGATGACTGGGCGTCGCCGACAGATCAGCGATAGGCCCCCGATGGCGAATCCGCACGGTGCAGGACGGGTGGGCTGCTGGGCCCCTTATGGGCGATGAATGGGCGACAGGGGGCTGATGTATCCACTCCCTGAGCCTATCCCCCCCCTAACGTTGCCCCTGCCCAGCGATCCGACGCTCCACAAAAAAAATAGAGCGGCGGGCTTGGGGGTCGTTATCGGCCTTTAGGAGCCCTCGCCGGGCCTCGGGACCGTCAAGAAAAAGACTCAGGACGGAAAACCGGCCCACATACGGCAGGTTCGTGTAGTGCCGACCCCAGCGTTGGTTTTTGACACCGCGCTGGATCGTTCAACCTTGAACGATCGGCCGTCTCCGCAACGTCCAATCGTTCAACATCGATCGATTCTGGGCCGCCGGCGGCGTTCAACCTTGAACGCCCGCGCTGGGGTCGCCGCTGGTCGACACGACGCAAACCTACCGTATCCATCGAAAGAAAATCGAGCGGCCGGACGTCTGGGTGAGGTCCTCCTCCCTGCCGCTCCCCGCATGGAGGCTGCAGACCATCGGCACGCGGCGGGATCCCCTCCCAGAGGAAGCGGCAGCCGCGCCGTGGGCGCCTGGAACGGGTGGGGCAGCACGCTCCCGTACGAGCCCGTGAAGAACTTCGTCAGGCGGGTGCTCGTGCAGACCACGACGTCCTGGCCCTCCCCAGGGGCCCCAGACCTCCCCAGATCACCAACAGTATGATTTGTTCCATACCGGCGTTCCTCCCCGACGTGCAAACCTCTGCATGGGCCCGTTATTGTGCCCGGGGGCCATCGACAATGGATGCGGGACAAGTGAAACTCGTCCAGAGACTGGGACGCAGAAGGCCACACTAGTATTATGTCGGGCGTGTCCCCCTACAGGAGGATGTTCGATGACAAATGAAAAAGTACCCAACAAATACTCCCAAAAGGTCAGAAACTAATCAAAAAAAAATCCCCTGACTATGTTTCTACGATTTTTTGATTATTTTTGAGGTATTTTTAATTCTTCGTCGAAAATCCCCCTGTAGGGGGACAGGCCCGACTTAACACTAGTGCTGCGCGCCACCCTTGGAGGCGCACGCCCGAATGGATCAGAAAAATGTTTGTCGTCCACGGCAAGATCGTTGATCGCTGTACGCCCGAGGTGATCCCGCAGGGCGGCAGTGATCCGCGGATTCGGTGCGCCCGGTCTGCGGACAACGCCGGCAGCGAGTGGTGCTGCTGAGGATGGCGATGGTGGCGAAGATGATGATGATGATGATGATGATGATGATGATGATGATGATGGTGATGATGATGATGATGATGATGATGATGATGATGATGATGATGATGATGCTGGTGATGATGCTGATGGGGAGGAGGAGGAGGATGAGGAGGAGGAGGATGAGGAGGAGGAGGGGGCGAGGGGCTGTGGGGAGAGGTGCAAGGCGTAGAGGAGGACGACGACGAGTTGGAGGAGGAGAAGGAGGAGGAGGAGGAGGAGCTTGGGGTGGAAGGAGAGGAGGAGGACGAGGAGAGGGGAGCGAGGAGGTGGACGGCGGGAAAGTTGGCGGAGGAGGGTAGACGGAGGAGGAAGTTGGAGGAGGAGGAGGAGGAGGAGGATAATGTTGAGGAAGAGGAGGAGGCGGAGGAGGAGGGCGGGGAGGAGGAGGATCAGGAGGAGGAGGATGGGTTGGGGGTAGAGGAGGCAGGACGGAGGATGTGTAAAGGTAAAAAGGAAGGACCAGGCAAGAAGGAAGATAAAGACGCCAAGAGGGAGGACTGCGGAGGAAAGGGTGAGGAGTGAGGCAGGGCTTTAGGGGATGGAGCGTGCGCCTCTCCCCGTGCACCAGTAGACGTACAAACGGGCGCACAACAGCGGAGCGGATCGCAAGCCGCAAGAGCAGGCTTCAAAACGCGAATGCCGCCACACACACACACACACGTAAAACCGAGTTCTGGGGATGACACCGATGATGGGCCTGTTTTCCACCACCACCATAAGTTGGAGAGGGGAAGGAGGAGGAGGACGAAGAAAAGGATGAGGAGGAGGAGGAGGAGGAAGAGGAGGAGGAGGACCCCCTCCCCCTCCGCCTTATGGTGGTGGTGGTGGAGAGCAGGCCCATCAACCAAGGGCTACCGCGACAATTATTGCCAGGGCACTGTGGTGCAGAAGAAGCAGGCGAGGAGCGAGGGGCAAGGAAGGAGGGAGAGGCAGCAGGCCGGGGGGCGCAGCACGGCACGGGGTTGCTAGGTGTGGAGCCGCCGGGTGGACAAGTAACAAATTGCCTCCCCCTGCGCCGGCCGCAGGCCAGATGATTCATTGAGCGAAGCGGGAATGCTGCACCGAAATTCTGGCCAAGAGTCGAACAAACGGAAGGGAGCCCCAACACACCTGGAGCAACGCTCAAGCCAACCTGCGATAGGCGGGCCCTTGCGCGCAACGGGGCTGGGAAACTTGCTGAACCTCGTGTTTAGAGCTCAGAGCCCGAGCTCAGTACATGACCCATCCTCATCATCATCATCATCATCATCATCAGCATCATCATCATCATCATCATCATCATCACCATCAGCATCATCAGCATCATCATCATCATCATCATCATCATCATCATCATCATCATCATCATCATCATTATCACCACCATCATCATCAGCATCATCAGCATCGTCGTCGTCATCGTCATCGTAATCATCGTCATCATACTCAGCACCAGCATAATGAAGGGCCAGCAATACAATCCGTTTATTGTTCCTCTTCCACCTCATTCTCGTCCCCATCGTCATTCTCATCCGCATCCATCCCCATCCTCATCATCATTCTAATCCTCCCAATCCTACACCGCCTCAGTATCATCATCATCAACATCATCATCATCATCATCACCATCATCGTCATCATCATCAGCGTCGTCATCATCATCATCATCATCAGCGTCATCATCATCGTCGTCGTCATCGTCGTGGTCGTCGTCGTCGCATTGATCATCATCATAATCACCATCTTCATTCTCCTCATCATCATCAGCATCATCACCAGCAGCGGCAAACTGAAAAAAAGGCCCAGAATTACAATCAGGTCCTGTTCCTCTTTCACCTCATCCTCATCCTCAGTATCCTGTTCATCCGCATGCGTCCCCATCCACATCATCATCTGAATGCTCTCCCTCCTCATCCGACAAATCATCATGATGCTCATCATGATAATGCTGATCACCATCATCATCATCATCATCATCATCATCATCATCATCATCATCATTATCAGCAGCATCATCATCAGCATCATCATGACCATGACCATCATCATCATCATCATCAGCATTAGCACCATCATCATCAGCATCAGCATCATCATCATCGTCAATCGTCATCGTCGTCGTCGGCGGCGCCAGCAGCAGCAGCATAAACAGTATCATCAGCATCATCATCATCATCAGCCGCAGCATCCTTCTTATCCTCCTCCTCCTCCTCCTCCTCATCATCATCATCATCATCACCATCATCGTCAACACCATCGTCACCAACATCATAATCCTCCTCGTCATCGTCATTACCGTCGTGAGCAGCAACAGCCCCAGCCTCAGCCTCGGCATCCTCATCACCCACCACCATCAAAATCTACACCATCATCATCAACATGAGCCTCCTCCTCCTCATCATCATCATCACCATCATCATCATCATCATCATCCTACTCAAGGCCCGTATCACCATCACCATCATCGTTCGATCCTCTGTAAAATAGTCATCCTCGTCATACTCATGCTCCTTCTCATCATCAGAATCATCAACAGCATCGTCGTCATCAGCATCACCATAGCCAACATCATTATCATCATCACCACCATAGGCATCAACATCAGCATCACTAGCATCACCAATGTCAGCAGCATCAGCAGCATCAACAGCATCATCAACATCAGCATCATCAGCAACATCATCAGCTTACTCATCATTATCACCATCTGTATCATCATCAGCATCATCACCATCATTTCATCATCATCCTCATCATCTTCATCGATCCCGTGTATCCCCCCCTACCGCTACCCCTTCTTCTACTCCTCCCCCTCATACTCCTCCTCCACCTCCTCCTCCTCCTGCTCCCCCTCCCCTTCCATTCCCAGTGTCCTCTTGCCGCCTCCTCCTCCTCCTCCTCCTCCTCCTCCTCCTCCTCCTCCTCCTCCTCCTCCTCATTTCCACCCTCCTCCTCCTCCTCCTCGTCCTCGTTTTCCTCATCCTCCCCATCATCACAATATTCCTTATCCTCCTCATCCTCCTCATCATCATTGCCATCAGCATTAGCATCAGCATCAGCATCATCAGCATCATCATCAGCATCAGCATATTCTTCTTCTTCTTCTTCTTCTTCCTCATGCCCCACCCTCCCCCCAGAGGGGCCACGGGCTGACCGCGCGCTCCTCGGTGGACTCGGCCACCTGCACCGTGAGGTCCGAGTCCTCCCACTCGCCCCCCGCGGCGGACTGGTTCATCCAGTGGCAGTAGCGCACCTATGAGGGGCAACGATATCGCACCTATGAGGGGCGCTTCTTGGAAGGAGGCTGCTCCCTAGGAGGCGGCGGCCTTACATCTGTAGACAAGGCCCGCGCCTTCTGACAAGCAGGGGCGCTTCTGACAAGCCTTCCACCCTCCTCGTCTTCCCCGCTATTCGCATGGCGGCCTGGAACACAGGTGTCCCTCACATGCGCGATCATACGGATGATCCGATCACTTCTCTCAACCTGAGGGCAACGATAGGGGGGGTGAGTAGGTATGAGGGGGGGAACGTCGTCGATCTGGAATCGGCAACACGTCGCCAGAGATTCGGCGGCAGGCCCCTGATCACGAATCCGTTCACTCCAGGGCGGGGTTGGCTACCAGGCCCCTTATCGGCGATCAGTGGCCGATCCCCCTCCAACAGAAAATTCCCAGTTACGCCTTTTTCCCTGAGCCTGACGGGGCGGGAAGGGCCCTCGGGCCCCTCCGCGCCGTGGAGACGAGCGGCTGGATGTACTCGGCCTCCTCGGGGCCCTCGGGGCCCGAGATCAAAGAGCCACCTCAGGATGAAAAGCGGGTCCCTAGCTGTGGGGCATCGCTCACGGGGGGGGGGGCCATAAATGTGGGGGGGAAGGCTTGAGGGGGGACGGTGAATGGAGGGGACGGTAAATGGAGGGGGAGGAGAAGGAGGGCGATTATAAAGAAGGCCAAGGCAACGCTGACTGCGATGTTGGTGAACGGCGATGCTGAAACCGTGTTTTGCTGTGGTGCCGAGCTCGTGCAGAGCAGGCTGCAAGAAAGCACGAGCGAGCCGTTCCGAACATCGGGCCCCGGCCACGACCTGGGGCCCTCGGGCCCCGCGATCAGCAGAGAGCGACCCCCGGAGGAACAGCGGGTCCCCAGCTGGGGGCGATAAATGGGGGGGGGGGGGATGGGAGAAAATTGGTAGGGGGGGGAGATTGAAGGGGGAGGTGGGGGATAAATGGGGGAGGCGATAAATGAGGGCGATAAATGAAGGGGAGGGGGGGGGGGGGGGGGGGGGCGCACATTGGGGGGCGAGAAGAATAAATGGGGGGAGAAAGGTGCACTTCTCGGGCCCCAGAGGACCTCGGGGCCGAGAGGGGCCCCGTTCTTGGGGCCCGAGGGGGCGCGTGGTCTGCAGCCCCCGCTGCCCCCCCCCCCACACCACATGCATCGCCCTCCTCCGCTGCTCGACGCCCGACCAAGGAAGGGGTCCAGATCTCCGGGAGTTCACACTGCGACGGAAGCACGGCGTCAGGGGCACGGGGACGGATGACGAAGCGGAGAAGGATGAGGATGAGGAGGAGGATGAGGATGAGGATGGGGAGGAGGAGGAGTAGGAGGAGGAGGAGGAGGAGGAGGTAGGTAGAGGAGCAAAGGAGGGGTGACGGGGTAAGGGAAAGGGGAGAGGACCAGCTAGGTGCACTCGCACCACAGCTGCAACCTATCCTTTCCTCCCTCCCATCCCTTCCTATTGCGGTGATGTTTTCTCAATCCGCGGACGCGTGTTATAACCGACATGGAGCTCCCAAAAAGGACCACCTCGTGTTTAGGGCAATCGGGAATTGGAAGCTGCGTGCATAGGAGTAGGAGGAGGAAGAAGAAGAGGAGAAGGAGGAGGAGGAGCAGGACAAGGACAAGGACAAGGACAAGGACAATGACAAGGACATCCGCACAAATGAGGTATTGTCAGCGCACCTACTCGGGCGATCTACGCGCTATTGCCAAACTACCCTGCGAGTTGTCGTGCTGCAGCCCAGCTTTCTCACTAGGGCCGGCAGGGGGCACTCCCCGTGGCTCAAGCACTGGGCTCCAAGGTGGCCCCGAAACAGAGGTTCGCTACCGTACATCACGAGTCCCATAGGGCCAATGCGGGGGGAGGAGCTGCTGGCCCTTCCGCGTGCCCTAGGGGAGGGGACGCGCGGGCTTAAGCAGGGCGCCCAGGAGGAGGAGGAGGAGGAGGAGGAGGAGGAGGAGGAGGAGGAGGAGGAGGAGGAGGAGGAGGAGAAGGCGGAGAAGGCGGAGAAGGAGAAGGAGAAGAGGAGGACGAGCAGGAGGAGGAGGAGGAGGAGGAG